AAATGCATGGCGTCTGCGTTCTTGTATTCTGATGGAACCATAGTGATTGGTTGGATGCTGTCAGTTTAACACCGTTATTGTACAATGGAGTGTGGCTGATAATGATTGCTCCTATATATCTTCCCACTACTTGAACTTCTGAACTACCTGCTCTGTTAAGTATTTTAAAATCCTTCTGGATATCGTTGATTTGCCGGTTGCTGCTAGATATGTTCAACATATTTATGGCTGCGGAAGCTTTCTGATATTCAACCCCATTTTTGATAATCTTTTAGACTTTATTTCTGTTAATCTAATCCTTTTCAGTCTGGCTCAAAAGTGTTTTCTTGTTTGATGACTATTCTGAGCTGTATGAAATATGGCTTATACCTTATGTTTCTTCTTCCATCTGGACTGCAACCGAGATTCTAGCTGATTTATGTGGCACCAACTGCTTCCTCAAGCTATCCTGCCTCGTCAAATGGTTTTATTACAGAACAGCTGTGCGCTAGTGTAGAAGGTAGCCATTTTACAGTACCCACACTAATTTTTTGACAGAAAACGCAAAAACTGACGATTCGCGTTTTTTTCGTTTTTTTCTTCATAACTTCCTTCAGATTGCATAAAATACGAATCCGAAGAAAGCGCGATGTTCAGCTCGTCAAGACGAATCTTCTGATATACTGCACTCTCTTACTATTCCGTTTCCAGTTGGCTCGATTTTTGTGTGAGGACGGGATTTTGTAATGGTGTAACTCAGCGAAGAACATACATGGAAGATTGAAGTAAACATCATTCGGTAGAACTGTCCCCGTAGATTATCAAGCGCTAGCGGATAACGCAGGGTCCCCTTTCCGTAAAGAAAGATAGGCCGGTGAATTTTGAAGAAATTGAGGTCTTTCAAAATTTAGTCACCGTAACCATACAGTAAGACGCTAATTTGCAATCTATGTACAAGTTTTCCGAAAAATTTGGGCCCTTTGATTTTTTCTCGTTTTAGGCTCTGAAGCTCGCCGACGGGTTTTGGCTAAAATATTGAATATCTTGGATTGAAGGGAAACTTCGCCCATAGAGCTATTCGGACCCGCTGATTACGAAAATGGTGCTCTTTGTGCACCGTAAGTTCTTTTAGCAGGACTATGCTGAGAGAAATGCTGCGAAACCACGCAAGTTCCTGAATTTGTCTGCCCTTTTCGCGTATCTGTTAGGCAAATTACCTGCCCCTTTCTGTAATTTGAAATCACTAGAGACATTGCTCTTAGAGCATGCCTGAGCTAGGCTCTTATCTGTATCGGTCGCCGAACTGTGAGCTTACGAACTCACGTCCTCATGAAAATCGTTCAAAATCTTAAGATCGCATTTTTTGGCCAAATACCACCGCGAATGGTTACAAATCACTCTGATTGCAGATATTATGTTTATGTACATATGTAAATTGATAATTTTAATACAGCATACTTGCTTACCCCCTATGCCAACTCTTACACCTGTAGCTCAAAGTTTGCAAAAAATCGATAGGGTCGGTAAAGGTGATTGTTTTTGAGACTAATATTGTGTCCGTAACAGCACCATCACTCACCTACTTATATCAATTCTTAGCCCGTAGCTCAACGGCAAAAAATCAATAAATGATATCGACCGATGACGAAATGTAGTCTACGAGACCCGCTCGCCCCTAAGTTTGTGCAGAGTTTGGTGTGCACTGTTCAGAGATGCAGTCCTGCTACATACGCACAGACACACAGACACATGACAAACAGACAATCACTCAAAGGCACCGCCCAACTGAATTCTCAACTTGTTGTTTTTGTCATTCCGGGCCTTTTTATGCCCTGATCCGATTATCAAGTCGAGAATCCGCGAAAAATCCGAGACACTCCGTTTCGGAGAACCCGAAGGCCGGTTTTCCGGAACGGTGATTGGATGGGCGGGCATCAGTGGCGTACCCAGGATTTCGGTTCGGGGGGGGGGGGCGCGACAAAGATTTTTTTCTAAAGAAGGTGCGTGGCGTTAGCCACGCACTCCGAAAAAATTTTTGGGGTGCTTCTCAAAATTTTTCCGGGTCCCCGACCCCTAAAATCTGGAAAAAGGGGGCGTGGCGTCAGCCACGCCCCCGAAAAAAAATTTTTTATAAGGCTAAAATGAATTTTTAAAAAATTTTAAAAATTATTTTAATTATTTACAAGTAAAAACAAGTCACTTGCACATTATTGTAACCCATGTAAGTAACTTTCAAAAATTTCGCGACCCGTTCTCGGGGGGGGGGGCGCGCGCCCCTCCCGCCCCCCCCCCTCGGTACGCCACTGGCGGGCATGGATGGGTTAGGGCGGGCATGGATGGGGTCCTCCTCCATCTTCGCTATTCCGAAGAGATTTTCTCGCTTCCGAAGCGGCATTTTGGGCCGCGACTTAGGCATTGGATTGAGGAAATCCTACTATTATATGCGGCCAAAAGCTCAACACCCTCAACTTAGAGTGGACGGGGCCTTTAAGATGAACGGTTGCAAGGAGACGCCTACGATTTTTATGATGAGATTGACAGACTTTAGAATTCCAACCGTCATTGCCATTATAATCTCTAATATACTAAACTAAAGGCTGTCCTGACAAGATGGAGGTTTTGGGATTGGCAGTTGAGTTGGCAGAGTTGGCATAGGGGGTAAGCAAGTATGCTGTATTAAAATTATCAATTTACATATGTACATAAACATAATATCTGCAATCAGAGTGATTTGTAACCATTCGCGGTGGTATTTGGCCAAAAAATGCGATCTTAAGATTTTGAACGATTTTCATGAGGACGTGAGTTCGTAAGCTCACAGTTCGGCGACCGATACAGATAAGAGCCTAGCTCAGGCATGCTCTAAGAGCAATGTCTCTAGTGATTTCAAATTACAGAAAGGGGCAGGTAATTTGCCTAACAGATACGCGAAAAGGGCAGACAAATTCAGGAACTTGCGTGGTTTCGCAGCATTTCTCTCAGCATAGTCCTGCTAAAAGAACTTACGGTGCACAAAGAGCACCATTTTCGTAATCAGCGGGTCCGAATAGCTCTATGGGCGAAGTTTCCCTTCAATCCAAGATATTCAATATTTTAGCCAAAACCCGTCGGCGAGCTTCAGAGCCTAAAACGAGAAAAAATCAAAGGGCCCAAATTTTTCGGAAAACTTGTACATAGAGGTTATCTAGCCTGCTGATCACGAAAAACACACCTGCTTTGCAAATTAGCGTCTTACTGTATGGTTACGGTGACTAAATTTTGAAAGACCTCAATTTCTTCAAAATTCACCGGCCTATCTTTCTTTACGGAAAGGGGACCCTGCGTTATCCGCTAGCGCTTGATAATCTACGGGGACAGTTCTACCGAATGATGTTTACTTCAATCTTCCATGTATGTTCTTCGCTGAGTTACACCATTACAAAATCCCGTCCTCACACAAAAATCGAGCCAACTGGAAACGGAATAGTAAGAGAGTGCAGTATATCAGAAGATTCGTCTTGACGAGCTGAACATCGCGCTTTCTTCGTATTCGTATTTTATGCATTCTGAAGGAAGTTATGAAGAAAAAACGAAAAAAACGCGATTCGTCAGTTTTTGCGTTTTCTGTCGAATAATTAGTGTGGGTACTGTAAGTGTAGTGTTGACCGCTAACTATATATCTTCGATGGTTACTAACCGTAGATACTCGATAATTGAAAGCAGCTTGTTTTGAAGGCACCGTCCATCCAAATCGACTTCCATGTTTTTGTCGCTTCCGGGCCTTCTGAAGGCCCTGACTTCGAATATGAAGTCGAGAATCCCAAAAACCCCTATTTTGGAAAGCGGGACGGGTGGAAGTGCAGTTTGCAGGGCTGCGGTGCGGCAGCGCCGCAGCCCCCAAAGCTCCAAAATGTGCGGAGTGACCAGCTGTGGATCACGTATCACGTACCTTCCAGAGCGGATTTCTCGCTCCGGAAGCAATCTTTCGCGGGGAAACTTGGGGGTTGGCCTAGTGTGGCCCACATTAGTATGCCATCGAATCTCGTGAACCCTCACCTTGGGTGGACGGTGCCTTTAATCTGCAGCGGAGTGACTTCAATCGACATCTAATGCCTCATCTGAACCTAGACCCAATCACTGCGTAAACAGTATTTCAAACTTGTATTATTAGGTTTATGTACCTAGAAATTCGTTCCATCTACAGTTAGTTTTTCCGAGGTCAAGTCAGCTAGCTTCCGCCCGCAGGCTCGCTGACAACCAAAAAAGAGTATTAATCTAGAGGAAGCAAGATGCTGTTGTTTATCGTCTTTGATCGAGTGTTCCATACCTGCTGATCTTTTGACAGATTTTACGGGACTGAGTTTTTAGTTCATTCTTACGTGCGTGTTTAACTTCCTGGTTCAATACTAGCTGGCATTGTATTTTGCTGTTTCTTTTGTTTTTGTGTTACAGCTTTGAGTGTTTTAATAAAGTGAAGTAAAGTAAAGTAATCCGATGCTTACGACGTCTGCTGGACGCACTTTGAGATGTATGAGTTCTTCTTACAAGGGAAGGTCGAAGTGGCGTTTCCATACAAAATGTGGCTGGTCTTATGAAGCATGGAGCGTTATATTCAAATCTGCTTTCATTACATGCAAAGCGCTTCTGAAAGAGAGTTATGGAAATTTTTTGATGAAATTTGAACGCGGCACTACAACAAGATCAATTGAGCCTGTAGTCCGCAGGTTCAAATTAAAACATTACGGCCATTTTGCTTTATGCATTAGATATCTTCATTATGAACCCATGCCAGTCATCACTGCTTTCCAAGTACCGGAAAGACCTCAACACTTGTTTTTACCCTTAGCCAAACCCTTGACAATTTTCAAAAAAAATTCCATAACTACCATTCAGATTTGGAATCAGCGTTCCATGCTCTATAAGAAAATATGCATTTCATTGAAAACGCCATTTTGACCAAGTATCCTCCCCTTGTTAGTATTACTTGGAACTAGTCTCGTAGTGTTCTCTAAAGACAGATACAATCATTTATTCTCGTCTACAGTGAATGTTTGTGTGTTTGGTATTGCTCTGCTAAAACACATTATCGCAACTTTATGCATAGCATGTAAGTTTGAGTTCCAGCAAAGAATTGTCATTAGCTTGTCTCATTTACAGGTTATCGAATGCACCTCTATTGCTAATGTGGTATTCAAAAGAAAATAGAACATCCTTGACCGACCGGCGCATTCGGAACAGTTGTCCAATAATATGTGCATACGTTGCGTCAAATGATCTCCGTATAGACAAAAATTGTATTCGTAATCAGCGCATGCTTGATCACCCCCCCCCGTGCCAACTCCCAGCCCCGCAGGTCAAACTATACAAAAAATCGAAAAATCGAGAAATCTATATTGATCGATGACGAAAAGTAGCCTACGACACCAGTCCCGCCCCGAAGTGTATGTGCAAGTGGTCTGGATCGGTTAATGAATGGAATTTTCTATTCGGACTTCCATAAAGACAGACAGACATTCAGCTTCATGTATAAGATGCTCAGACACATTTATAGGCCGGCATGGTAGCCAGCCGGCCGCCAGCCAGTACGCTGGAGTGGCGCTGGGCCACAGTATTTCTTCTCTATATAAATTCTAGCTTTCTTTCAGCACTGTAATTTTTATACAAGGTGGTACGCGTCTACATTAACATGTTTATTATAACCACAAGATACATTGCGAAACATGACAAAAAAGAATTTCGCACTCACATTCATGAAAAATGAGGCCAATAATTAGTTTTCATCTGTCAATCGATTTTTTTGCAAAGTTTGACCTGCGATGTTGGCACAGGGAAGGAGGTAATTGAGCATGCAACACAGCGGGAGTAGGTTATTGACATGTAAAAGTGGGCACAAGGAAAGGTCGCACAGGGATAGGGATGGAACCTCTATCATAGCGTTTTGACAGGGCGGGCGAAGCCGGATAAGCCAGCTAGTAGCCTTATACTCCTTCTCTGCTTCTCCCTGCGATATGCAAGACTAATATGTTGGAAACAACATGTTAGTCTTGTAACATGCAACAACATGTTGGCGTAAAGGCTAAGCAGAGGTCAGAACTTAACCCATCGGTACCAAACAAGCTGTATAACCTCAGACTCGTCGTGAAGCGCTGATCGCAAATATATTTTTATTATCTGCCAAGCGACTATCTGGGGGGAGCTATGAGCGTTTGAATGAGCGATTTGTCAAGTGCCCGGCGCATGTTCCGCAGAATAAGTTTCAAAAACACTACTTAAGTTTTTGGTGAATGTGCTTCTTCCTTGTGATCAATATGACCACCACTGTAAATCCGCGCCATCAGGCCTGCCTTCCAAGAAATTATATTAGTCGAAAGTCGAAAAATTCCCCATATTCAAACGCTGATAACCCCTTCCAGATAGTCGCTTGGCAAATACTTACTTACAAGGGAAGCATTTTCAGTCAAAGTAGCCTTTCCAAATGATTCTTATACCGCTTTGAAGAGCATTAAACGCTGATTCCATATCTGTTTTCATTATCTGCCAAGCGATCCTGGGCGCCGAGTTATGAGTGTTTTTTGGAGCAAAAAATGAACGCAGAATCTATGTAAAAACCGTAATTACGATATTTCCTGCGCTCAAATAGAGCACTTTGAGTATAAGGGTATTAGACAGATATTCATTAAATGAAGTGCTCTGATGATGAACACCCGACCATTTGAGAAGTCTTGAACGACTCTGTGTCAGTTAGGCTTTCAGTTTTTCGACTCAAAAAAACCCGCGCTCGGCAGGTATGGAAAACGGATTTAGATTCACCGTCAATGCTCTACAAAGTGATATAGGTGCCAAACCCTATCCCTCGCTTCACACACTCACGATCTTCTTGGTTGACGTCGGTGGCTGCGTCCGCGAGTTCCAGGGCGAAAATCGTATCCAGCTGATTTCTCAGCTGGTCCATCCGTTTCACGAACACGTCGCCCTACTTGTTGGAGATCTTCCTTGGGGAAGTTTCGCTTCGCGAGGAATCCTTCTTAGTGTGCCTTGTCGTCTGCTTTTCTCATGATGTGACTGGCTTATCGATGTTTCGCTTTCGCAACGTATTCCGCTGGGTCACGAAGACAAGACATTCTTCTCAAATCCGTACTGCGAAGTCCGACAAGGTGTTGTTTGTGTCGGCTCGTTTTCAGAAGAGTGCACTCTAGGGCTCTGTGGGAGGTCCTCAAAACTTTCGATGTGATTACAGTGTCGAGCCAAGTCTCAGCTGCGTAACAGAGCTCCAGGAGAAGGTTTAAGTTGAACAGGTGGGCACGAAGCTCCGAGTCCATCAGTTGGTCAGTGTCCTCCTTCAGAGGCCCGAAGGCGCCCCAGGCTGCTCTTCTTCTAATGTTAAGTTCTTCCCTCAAGTCGTTCTCCATGTTCAGCGAACGTCCGAGATACACGTAAGAAGACGTCTCCATAAAAGGGGTGCCTTCCAATCCCATTTTTGCATCTTCACAAAGGGCGTTCTTCATGAACTGGGTCTTCTCCCGATTTATTCGCAGTCCTATCTTCTTCCCTACTTCGTTTGGTTCCTTCAGCATCGTCCCTGCTTCAGTGATACCGCTCGAGAAGAGAACGATGTCGTTCGCAAAACGAAGGTTCGACAGGAATCCCCCATCAACTCGTATGCCTCTTTCGTCCTAGTCCAGTGACTTCATCACCCACTGCAAGGCCACAGTGAACAGCTTTGGCGAAATGTTTCGCCTTGTCAGACCCTCTCCCCAATTGAGATGGTCAGGGAGCAATGGAATAGCTGCGTCGTCGTTGTACACGGCTATGCTCCTCATGCAAGCTGGGTTCACCCCTTGATTGATTATCGCAGGCAGGATGGCGTTGGTATCGACGCTTAAAGGCTTTCTCGTAGTCGATGAAGTTTGGGGGGAGAGGCAGTCGTTACTCCAAGTAGACTTCTATGAACTTCTATGACTATCGAAACCGTCTGGATGTGGTCCATCGGCTGAATCCTTTGCGAAATCCAGCTTGTTTTTGGGGTTGGGCTTCATCCAGTGCTTAGATATGCGAGCGAGGATAATCTTCTGAAAAGCTTGTACAACACATCCAGCAGACATATTGGATGGTAGTTCCGAAGATCCTCCCGTTCACCCTTCTTAGGGGACGATTTTGTGTTTTCCACTGGCCGGGAATCCTCTCCTTCTAAGGGTAAGATGTCAGATGCGAAGAGAGAATCTCGCGTCTTCCGGCTTGCAGTAATTTGACGAAAAGATGGTCTGGTCCTGGAGCCATGGGCGTTTTCATGGTCTGAATCGCCGTGCGTACTTCAGCAGTAGAATTCGTGGTGGTACTTCTCCAGTGGGAGTAACGGGCATCGGCACGAGTGCTGATGAGCGGAAGAGGTTGGTATGGAAGTTCTTTGTGATAGATTTCATCTTACATCAGGAAGAAATCCGAGTCATGTCTTTGTTTGACATTGCAGCCAACGGTACGTGATATTCAAAGACATTCCTTCGACACTTCTTTAGACTTCGTCTTCCTTCCTGCTTCCTTATTCTTGGCTTGCCTATACTTCCTGAGATCCCCCTGCAAAGCTGTTCTGCAACTGACGTTGGCTATCAGTCGTTCGAGATGGGTTGCATTTGAATCCTGCCTCAAAAATCGGTGGTCGGAGCCAATGCAGAAGGATGAACCTACTGAGACATCGACTAAGCTCCAGCTTCGCTTGGTGAGAATGTGGTCGATCTCCGCATGAGTCGTTCCGTTGGGCGATTCCCACGTCCAGGCGATGTTCTTTCTTCATGAAGATGGAATTTCCATAGAAAATTCGTGCGGCGGAGAGAAGCCCAACAAGACGGTTGCCGTTTTTGTTTGGAGCCCATATCCAAATTCCAATCCTATTTTCCTTTTCGAGTGGCATCCCGATCGCGAAGTCGCCCACAACAAACTTGTAGAAAGACTTCTCTTTGCGGACGACTTGCTCCACGTCTTCGTAGAAAGCATCTAGTTGTGAGTCGTCAGCTGCTGATGTTGGCGAGTAGCAGGTGATGATGCTGAGGTCTTCTGACGTGGAGGTCATATTCGTAGGATGGCTAGTCGGAGTGATAGGATCTCATACGAATCGACAAGATGGACGATGGTGGACAATAAAGCCAACGCGTCCAACGTTTTGCGATGGAACCTTTTCACCACAAATGATGAGGGTCCCATCACTCATTTTTCGCACGTCCTTCTTCCCGGACTTCGTTTCCTGCAGAGCGATGGTGGTACTTGATGTGCTCTGCAGCGTCAAGAATAGCGTGGAGGTCGGCGTTTGTGGAGACTGTCCTGGCGTGGTAGGTGCAGAGCATGAAGCAGTCTCCATGGCGTGTCGTCCGGGCAGACGTGTCGTTTTTGTCCGATCCAAAAGGCGCCCTAAAGACCCTGACATCGTTCTTGCTACCACCCGGCGCCGTAGGCGGGATCCGATTTGCAGGGCTTCTTTCTAGTCTTCCAACTGGCGGAGTAATTCAAATGGTTCCGCTCAAGAGCAAACTTACTAGGCCTACTCTTGATCTCCACTGGGCGATCGCTGACCCGGATGTGGAGCGGGAGAACCGCCTAGCGAGCAGAACCAGACAGCGGTGAATTTGGCCTGGCCGGCTCTTACAAGGGAAGGATGGTTGGTCGAAGTGACCTTTTGAGGTTGTATACAGTGACGGAGGACATAAAACACTGATTCCAAATTTGTCTACCTTATCCGCGGCGCGTTCCTGGACGAGGAGTTATATGCGTTTCAAGAAACAAAAAGTTAGTGTTTTTATGGGATAAACAGTTGCTAAAATTTTTCCAGCGCTTATGAGACAGCTGTGGCTAACATGTTGGCAACGTGGCAACAACATGTTTGCAACATGCCACAACATGTTGGCAGAGCATTTTGGCCACGCCGACATGTTGCTGCATGTTGCCAACGTGTTGCTGCCAACGTTGCCAATGTGTTAGTCACGCGTGGCACGTCCGCGACGCCACAAGGGTAGCACGAGCTGTGGAGGGGACAATATATCACTCAGCCTCGGGCTAAGTGACGCGAGCACGCTTTGCGTACGTTTCATCAATAAGTTAATCAATGAGTTCTTTTTTGATCAATTACTATTAGGAATTCGTGGAAGGACGTGTTCAAGCCAGCGTCGTTTAACGAGCTCAAACATGTTTTGCACGAATTCTGATAGTAAATCAACCCACGTTGAAACTCAATCATAAACTTGTTGATAAAATGTACGCGAAGATGCTCGCTCTTCTAGTCAGAGAATGAATGATACATATTTCGTGCGTTCTGCAAGTACTGTGTCCCAAATACGTGCTCCTTTCACACCTCAGGACAAGTACGGCGGCACCTTTAATTCAAATTCGAGAAGACATGAGTTTCGGATGCGGTCTGACACAGCGCTTCTGGAACGTTTTTTAACGTAAAGCTAGTGTAATGTGTGCTTTATGTTTCCAATTCTACGGCGTTGTTAAAGGTACCATTTCCCTCACAGCTAGAGCTGTCCTTGCAATAGCAAGCAATTTTTTCCTCATTCTGATGCAGTTTGAAGTTTATTTACGTGACGCAACATCAAGGCGATGCGGAAGCGCATCACCATTGGCCTGTTCCAGATTGGGACAGACTGTATATGTCAACCAGAACATCCATGTCCTTCTTTGCTAAAATTAGCTATGAATGACCTTTAGATTATGGGTTCTCCGTCCTTGGAACCATTGAGTCCCGCAAACTCCTTTCGTCGGGTTGAAAGAAAGGGGACTACCGGCAGACTGCGAGCTCATTCCGAACATTATCTGTGGCTTTTCGGGCAGATGCATGCTAAGGTAAGTGTTATGGGTTTTTAGGCAACTTAATATCTGATCACCGAACATAAAATTTGAATCAAAGTCCAATGAGCACTGATCGAGGTGTATTTTCAGCGATTTCTTGTTTTCGCTCATCTCTTGTTTCTGGCATTATCCGTATGGCTGCTGTGGAATGTGAGTGCAGTCGAGTTTGCAGGCCTACCTGTGCCAGGCCTTGATGGACTTCTACCTTTTGATGTGCCTGTTCGCGAAGCTTTGCGTGAAGGAGACAACGATTCTCTGTGAGTAAACCTTTTTAATGTCCAATCGTGTTTAATATCTTATATTCCTCTCAGATTACTAGATCGTTTCGACGTCAATTAAGTTGATGCGCGTTTGTTCGAATTTACCCTTTCACCTATAATTACATAATTAACCTACCTATAATCAATGTTATTCGTTTTTTTTCGCGGAAATAAGGGTTCAATTTGATTACGATCTGATTCCAAAGGGTTACAGTATAAGTCAGTCACCCTGGGGATGTGCGAAAGTTAGAAAGTTAGACGTACACTTTGATTCAAAATCTCCTAGTACAGACTTATTTCCTGCAGTGCCACGCTGTGAGATTTTGGAGTTGAGAATGAAGGACTATTTCAGATAGGTCTGCAGGGGGAGGGGTGGGTCGTAGGTAAGACTAGCCACCATAAATTTCCGAACAGGTTCGGCTTCACTGATTGCCTTAATTAGAGGCACTAGTGTCGTAATGTCGTTGCTCGACCGCAATGACGAAATTTTCAAAATTTCAACAGTTAGCAGTTTCAAGAATTTTTTTTTGCAATTCGACGCATCTTCATGCAGAATGTTGCAAGTAAATCTCACCTACATAGACTTCACGCAACTCATCACAATTTAGTTATATAGCTGGGTGTCAGCAAGGTTGGCACGCAAAATTTACAGCCGGTTGTATGGCTCTAGCCATTGGAAGAACTTTTTAAATGGTCTCATTATGTGTATAACTGCCGGTAAGCACTTAAATTTCAGATTTCTGTCACATGCGGATGTGAAGCCATATCTAGACACCTCTCGAACCATTGCATCTCTTCTCGGCTACATGTACTTTTTCAGGTGCGTCAAACTTTATTTCCTTCTACTCATTTTCTCAAAATCGACCGCATGACCGATTTTGATAATACCTCAGTCCTCCTGTTCGCGCTATTACCCAGCTGTTGCAAACTTATTTCTTTTTCTTACTCTCCGACTGAAAAAAATTCTTAATTGACTTTCACTTCTCATGTCAGATCATTTACTACAAAAAGTGGGGAAGCGGAACATTCTATGTGGAATTTGACTCTCTCATCAACTTTGCAAATAGGCATCTTCTTGTTAGCAGCTTTTTGGGCTGCCTTGAAACTTCCTTTTACTACTAATTGTACGAATTCTTCTTCGGGTGGCGGGATGTGCGCTGAGTAGCGATCTCGCAAGAAACGCGCAACTTTACCTGTTAACAGACAAGCCAATTCCGATCTGAATTTGAGTCTTTTGTCGTTGGCTCACTTCTTCCAAAAATTCGTGTATTCTATGACTCAAGCTTATTGAACTGTAAGATTTGATCGAATGTTGCAGCACTTTGATGGGTTTAGCAGTCATGCGAGCTATTGATGGTGTCTGGCAACGTGATGGTGTTTCGCCACTCTTCTGCGTTAATCCTGCTTTGTTTCTTTTGCCATTTCTATTCAGTGTCGTAAGTACCTATCTGTACTATGTTCATGATAATCGCTTCAAGATGGTTTACAGCTCTCGCTAGGAGGAATGTTGTTTCTGTGGTCGGTGCGCAGCGGTAGAATGCAATTGTACGAACTTGAGCTTGCTCCAGCCAACTATAGTTTCCTTCTCATCATCATAGGTCCGTTGATTTTGATATTCACGTTTAAAAGAAAACCCAAATCCAATCTATACATTTTATATTGAATACCTTTGCGTCTGCCGTATAGGACAGGTTTAAAAATCCTTGGTAACTTGTGAATAGAATAGTTTGAGTGTGTCACGTTACTGCATTTTCTTCCTTGTTAGATCTTTGTTGCTGGTAGTGGCAGTAGTTATATCATCTCATCGTCATTCAGATGCTTTCCGCTTCACATTCTTGCCATGTTTGCTACTATGGATGATCTACTCTTATTTCGTATATGGCTGTCTTTTGGGTTTTATGTACACGTATCGCCGTGCAGAACAATGGCGTTCTCAAAAGAACGGCGCAGTTGCTGCTTCGCTTAGCTGGTCCTTCAGAGGTATTTTGTTATCAAAGACCAACAACGGCGTGTTCCAATTTAACTCACTTATATGCATTATTAATATCTTATGTCGCATAAATTTGAAAAGTCACAAACTGAAGCAACGCACCCTCTGATTGCCAACCAATATTTCAGTTCCTTCAGAACGTTCGTCTGTGCTGCATCGCTTCAAAGAACGCACAAACGCAAAACGTAAGTTTACATCTTTTTTTATACTTGACCACTTCCTTGGATGTATTAAATAATCAGTACAGTCATAGAGTTTCCAGCCGGGTTCCTTTCACGTCTAAACGCTGCCAATCGCAGCTGGCATAGCAGCAAAAGTGCAGATAACCCAACCTTGCGTGCTTACTCCAGGAAATGCGATGGTAATTCTTTGCAACATTCCGTTACGATATTTGTTGCACTCTATTCGTTACTGTATGTAGATGGCGTACTCCTTAGAAGGAAATGGTTTGGTGACGTGATCTTTGTTTATCACACCAGCACAATAGTCACTCTATACGTTAAATTGGCCAGAAGATTTATGAATTTGCTGGTGATCGGTTCTATGATTACGGTCTCAACTAGCAGCAGTCTCGTTATGACCAAGATTCGTTTTTTCAAAACAATTTCAAAATATATGTACAGAACATCATTATGTGGTAGTCTCCTCAGAAACTATGTACCAAAGAACACACTTCATTAGATTTCGAAACTCTAAAAAGAAGTAGTTTGTTACTATCCAAAAATCGTGTTCTAGATGATGTATGCCCTTCGGTTCTCTCTGACGACATGAACACCACTTATGGTTCCGAAAATAGGTACGGTATTGGCTCTCTATCTTCAGCGCTTTGCACGTCATCTTTTAGTCTTGAAAATAATAATCTGAATCGTTCCATCTGTGCGTTCAACTTATCGCATCGACTTCTGGACACCGTTGTAGAGGAAGCGGAAAGCCAGGAAAGTACCGGAGTCAGTTCCGCAGTCACGAATCTTTCGCATGTGGCCACAAGACTGTAGCAAGGTACGTTCTACGCAAAAAAAAAAACTGGGGTTGCTCAACTTGCTACTAGTCCTCATTGCGGCGTCGCAGAGCCCATAGCCTAGCCTTCCTTCTCCGCTGCGGCACTTACCTCTTAGGCCTAGGGCATACTCGCACGATTTCGTCAAATCGCTAGTGGCACGCGAAAGGTTCTCAGGCCCGTATGCACGTACTCCCTGCTGTGGAGAGGAAGGGATCTGAGAGGGGACACGTCATATCTCGCTAAATATCTTTTTTCATCCTTGTCTATCTATATCATGAAGGTTCCCATACCATGATATTGAACATAATGGATGATAGGACATCGCCCTACACATGGAGAATTCATCGTTTTGTGTGATTCCCTTTGAATCCTCGGGGATCACTTCACATTTTCAAAATCATTTGTCTTCCTTTAACTCGGTGTGAATGCTGCAAAAATGTACCGAGTATGTACTATGGTACTGCTCCAGCAGGATACCGAAATCTTCGATGAACCGCTGTCCGCTAGCTGAGGTTCAACGAAAAAAAATCAGAACTTTACAATCTCTTTGTTTTGCCACCAGCGGGGATGTACGTGCATATGGGCCTTAGTCGACTTTATTGCGCTTTTGCCTCAATTAGGTGGTGTCATTTTTCGTGTTGAAATGCAAAAGGTTGTTCAAAAAATAGAAAATTTTAGAGATGGTGGTTGTTGTATTGCTGTGAATTTGGAGCTTAGTGGGAGCAATAGATAGAAGTGATTTGATCATGCTTCTAAACATTAGAGTTTTCGTATTTTGTTACATCAGCATATCGGAGTGACTAAAGCACATCTATATATCGCTGGAATGATATCCAGAGAACACCTGCTAGCGCTGGCATAAAATTGCAATCGATCTCTTGTTTTTTTGTAAATCTCTAGTTGTTCATTGTTCTTTGTTGTATGTGCATGGTATTATCTCGTTTTGTTCTCGTATTTTTTTCTGTTATTGTTACAAAATAACCTGTTTTTCCCCATTTTTGAAGAAGGTGCTTCATTTTCTTTGTAGTGATGTTCTTATTTGTCATCAAATCTCTGTCTGTATCTTAGCAAATGAATATACCAGCTATCCACTGCAATTCTATACAATTTATTGTCAGCTATGGGAACAGCCATTTCTTTCCGCCGTGCACGCAAGCATGGCTGGTCTGCAATTTGTTGTAAAATCGGAATGAGTAGCTGAACTGAGGGAGTCTAATCTATAGGGAATAGACACGGCCATTCCACAGAAAGTTGTTGTGAATCGCTATCCATAATTCACAAAGCGATTATTTGGAAACAGAAGCGGCTTTCAAAAATTACTTCTGAATCTGTGGCGTCTGGTGTTTGGAAGAGAGTGGCAGACTTCTTTAGGGTTCGCGTTCCCAATCTTTAGTGCAATGACTCCATTGGAAAAGGCTACGAATGAGAACTATAGTCGCCGACTAAAATTCTGGCCGAAACTATACATTAGATGTCTTACAAATGAAATATTGATGTATATATCAGCCTACGTCGGCAACCATCAACTTATGGTGAGTGAACAAAACGGACCATGTTTTTTGTTGGATTCATAGATAACAACTCAGACAATCGGTGCCATAGCTCCGGAGAAAGTCGAAATCTGGCAGAGCTGCGGAGGGCCCAACTGACCACTGAGAGCGGGGCGAGGGGACGGTTCCTTTCTGTGACTTCACGGTGATGTCACAAGAAGGCAGATGGGACCCCTCCGGTTGGCTTGCAAATCTCTGCTCCGGAGGTACGCCAGATTTGGGAGAGCCCGGAGCACAGATTTGCGCTCCGGAGCGCCAGATTTGGGACACCTTCGGAGCACAAAATGGGAGGGCTCCAGAGCACAAAATGGGAGGGCTCCGGAGCACAAAATGGGAGGGCTCCGGAGCACAAATGGGAGGCCTCCGGAGCACAAGAAGGGCTCCGGAGCACGAGTGGCAAACCCCCACTGGGCAGACCGCGCGGCCCTGCCATTTCTGCTCCGGAGGTATCCCTTCGACTGTCTGAGAAAGATCTCACTAAGGCTGATGAAAGCTCAAAACTGTAGATCGACAACAGCAAATTAGCCACCAACACAGTCGTCGTTTTTGAATTGTTCTATGTACACACATGTACAAAGCATGAAGCGGGTGTTGAAGCCGAAGTGGCACGCACTTTCAAATGGAAGGCGCATCTGCTGTTCACATTGAATTTACGTAAGGTAGGTCGGCACCTAAGCTTTGCAACTAATTTCATAGCTCGTCTCTTCTTGAATGTAGCGCAATCTTTGGCATAACGCAGGCCAGGTAGTGAGCTCTTCCAGAAACTACTGTTTGATTACAATTGCAAACCGAAACAAATTTGTAAAATTTTTGAAAGCTGGTCAAATAGAACTCTCTCTCTGTAAACAGAAATGATGCTTGCAGTCTGAATTAAATACATCAAGCCAAAACTGCACATGGATGTTGATAGTGGAACGTCTAGAATTGAAAGCACATCGGCTTCATGTATTTGATTGAGCAATTCTGTTTTCAGCCTACTAAGAATTCATGACCAGCTTACTTCCTAAAAATCAAACAATTTGCGGATAATTGCAGCTCTCTTCCCAATCTGCATCCAGAAGAGGAAGTTACGATTTTAGTTGCAAAACTTAGGTGCCAGCCTAGTACTTTCGCACATTTTCTGGTCTATAAGCCACTTCGGATGCAAATTCCTCTTAATCGATACAAAAGCAATGAGAACCCCCATATAGTTCAAAATTGAAATTTGAATTTAAGCAACTCAGGCATCAAAAAAATTTCCCTGTTGAAGCAGAGCTAACATCGACCTAACTGCTCACCTGAGTTTGAAACCTGGCTATACTCTTCTTGCTTTGTCATTGAAGCCGTTTAGTTAGAGTAAAAGCATCGCTCAAGGAGAAGATCTTTACACCGTGCACGCGAATATCAGCGAAAGACGTGATTTTTCGAGTGCAGAACTTTCGCAACCTATCACTGGGTTGAAAGTCTCCAAAAAAAAACCTTTTCGCTACTTTTTTTCTCTTCCAGATATATGTTAGCGGGTTAACTTTGATCAAATCGAATCGCATGGAAGATTGATTAGTAGATACTAAGTTGTAACAAACGGAAGTCATCGAATGAACAAATATCGGATAATCGCTCTTTGAAAATTTTCGAAGAATGGATATCGAGTGATTGATTTTTGAAAATTTTTTGAATGAACGAATATTACTCAATTCTCGATTTTTATTAGGTTGGCAAATAAGTTTTGCAACTTTTCCCGTAACTTTTTTCCTATTATATGTAGCAATCTCATTTTGTGTCATCATGTAGATCGTGATGTAAGCTGCAAGTCTGCGCAAACCGTTTGATTTTTGATAACATAGTACAAAAAATCTAAGCATTTTTTGAAAACTGCTGAAAATCGAGGTTTCACGATTTTTTTGGCAAACATGAAGCCCTACGAAACCTGATTCAAACATATGAAAAAGCAATTATAGGCAGCATGTAGCTGGAAGTTGGCACATTGTAATCAGTGAAAAAGAAATGGAATTTAAACACAAATTAAGGCGGGGCGCCTTTGAGAAGTTGAACAAGTCAAATGCGTCAAGTTTTAAAGGCAATTTGTCAATAACTAAGCTGCGAAAAGTCAGAATTCGCTATAACTTTGCACTGTAGGGTAATCCTATGCGGTAAACACGAATATTATATCCATTTGTCGCTAAGATGTCATCTTTTGATCTCACCAACGAGACCTTTTCATGCGAAACGGATCTCATTTTTGTTATCAGCATGTCAAATAAGCCCTATAGGCCGAGTTTCAGCAATATCTGATGCATCCTAAAATTTTTCCCATAGTACCGTAAACCTACCGTAATCCTCACATAAGATGGTAAAATTCGGCAAAAATGTGTGCATTAGAAGCTTACATCATATTCCTTATATTGCCAAAAAATGAATGCACTACGTTCAAATAGACAAAAGTTATAAAAAGTTGCATTACTTAGTTGATGATTTATGTATCATCAACCTCAACAACTCTATAATCCTAATAGCTTACGGGTATTCCCCACAGGCTAAATTCCCCAACCGCTTATATTTAAGTGCCGAATCACTCACCAGTGAGTGGCACCTATCTTCCAGGGGCCGCGCCAAGCCGCGGCATCCTCTTTCTTGCATATATTTCCTGGACAGTCTGATTGTGCACGGGTCAGCTCCGCCTTACTACCTATATAAGGAGCCCCCGATTGTATTATGGGTTGCTCCCCCGGTCCAAAACCGGGTTCGTCTGTGGATAAATTATTATCGACACCACTATCGCCTACGACACTTGGTTCCCAACAAATTGGTGCATCGACCAGTGAAGCTACCTCGTATTCTATCTGCAACCGGAGGAATCGAGGCCACAAGACCCGCGTGGCAGGAAGACAACCAACCGACTATCTGAAAATTCCTGTGTATCCTTTTCGTAAGAGATTCAGGGAGGTGTAAGAAAAATCGGAAGGCTACCACTGACTATCTGAAAATCTTTGTGTATCCTTTTCGTAAGAGATCCAAAGAGGTGTAAGAGAAATCAGTAGGAATACCACTGACCATCTGAAAATTTCTGTGTATCCTTTTCGTAAGTGATCCAGAAAGGTGTAAGAGAAATCAGTAGGTAGCACATAATCACACTAATACGTGAAACTTTCTGTGAATCCTTTCCGTAAGCGATCCAGAGGGTGGAACAAATTTTGTGAGTGCAGCACATAACCACATAAGACCGTGAAACTTTCTGTGAATCCTTTTCGTAAGTGATCCAGAGAGCGGAACAAATTTTTGTGGGTGCAATTTTCCAATCAATCTCAATAGATCTCTCGCGAATCCTATCCAAGGACCGGAGATCAATACATTGAGATTTGAAAGGAAGGCAACTTGAGTCACAGGAGCTCATTTTGCCAAAAAAGTCAAAGTTCGACCAAGAACTCTTGACTTAAAGGATTGAAACCCAATCCTTATCTGGTCAAGGTCCAAGCCACCTTACCAGTCAGCACAGCGTTCAAGCCAACCAGGCACGCTTGCTCATCAGAGATCAGCACACAGATGTCTCTATTCAACAACACCACTAACGAGCCTGCAAGTTTGCGAAAACCTCCCTACTTGTACATTGAAGAAACAGCAAAGCAACCAACTTGCTGTAGGACAAAAAGAGAAGAAGTCGGAATTGAATCTCGAAGATGGCCGCACTTCAACTTTTCAAAATCAGGATCAACAATGCCTGCAAACTCGTGAAATCGTACGAGTCACAAATTAATGACATTGATGTTCCCTTCACATTTCCTGCGACAAAAGAACAATGTGAGCTGTACATTAAAGAGAAAACAGGAGTAATAACTAATCTCCTAAACTCTTTGCATAACGCAATGAAGCTCCAAGAAACGCAAACCAGTGCCGCTATGGAGTACATCAACACAAGGAATGATGAGAAAGAAAGGGAAAAGCTAATGACAGAACTCAGCAAGCACTTAGAGCTTGAATCATTTGATCTAGAAGTGGTTGTAGTGGAATGGCAAACTAGGATACAGTTCAGACAGCATGAACTGAGGGAGCAAATGACACTTTTGCATACGCCTGCTCCTAGTATCCCAAGCCAATCAGCAAGCGAGATAGGACAAGGCTCAGTAACGGATCGAAGTGAACGCCAGATCAAAGTGCGGAAACCGCTTCTAGAGATTCCCACATTCTCTGGCAACTTCAGAGAGTTCAACAGTTTTTGGACAGTGTTCGAATCACTGATTCACTGCGATGAAGACTTATCAGATGGCGACAAATTCCTTTTTCTGAAGCAAGCTCTCAAAGGAAAAGCTGCTGCGGCTCTGAACTACATCCCCGTCGTTGGAGACAAGTACAAGACGGCCGTAGACATCCTGAAGAAGCACTTTGACCGGTCTGCCAACATGGCAGATGTACTCATCAACGAAATCGAACGACTTCAAGGAGCAAAAGACAGTCCCGAAAGTTGCCGAGAAACGTTCGAAGCAATCAATTCACGGATCATCCACTTGGAACAAACTGGAATGAAGATGAGCGCAGATAGAATTTGGCGCAGAATGATTCTGTCCAAATTTCCTGAAGACATCTGCGCAACCGTCATACAGAAGGAAACCGTATGCGGTGATCACTTCGATGTTTCCGAGATTCTAGACGCAATCGACGGCATCATCTTTCTTCGGGAAACTACCGCCCTAACGATGAAGACACTGCTTCCAAGCACCTCACGTACGAGAGGCCAGGACACAGATAATGATTCGGAATGGGAAGAGGAGAGAGGAAATCTCGAGCAGTCTCCTCCTACGAGCAGCAATCATCATTTGCAAGTCTCTAGGATGCAGCGAAGAACCAACTCAGATCATCGAAAAGCAAATGGAGTACACGTTGCACGAAGCCCGTCGTATGAAAACGAAGTCTGTAGCTCAAACAAAGAACTACCCGTCGTGCGCCAAAGCGTACTCCAAATGGCGTCGGCAATGATATTCAACGAGGAAGATTGGGATTATCAACCCACAACAATACTGATTGACTCCGGCGCCCAGCGAAGCTTTATCAAATCGAAACTTAGTGAAGAGCTCAGGCTGCCAGTCAGCCAAAGGACGTCATTCACCACATCAGGAATGGGAGAATTGAAAGAGACATTCAGTTCTAATGAAGTACAAATTACTTTGAAAGACTTTCACAACGCAAAGAAGCTTAAGAAGATATCAGTGCACACGAAAGACAAGTTGACTGCCAATCTACATACAGCAGATCTCACAGATGCAGATGTTCAGTTCATTTCCAATAAGAACTTGAAGATAGGTCAAGATACGCTCACTCATAAAAGCGTCTTGCCTGAACTCATTATTGGACAGGATCTTCTCAACCTCGTCACTGTTCACACCGAAACAGTGCTCAAGCTTCCTTCGGGGCTCATCTTAACCCCAACAATCTTTGGATATGTCATATCCGGTACAAGCCATACCAACGTGAGCACAGAGATCGTTGGCACTTTTGGTTGTACATCAACGATGCAAGAAGCTTCCAAATCCGCCCCTCACCCTCAACGACACGTCAAATGGCTGACGGCGAAGAAAACGGGCACCAGTTTCAACGAAAGCAGTACACGTGCAATCAACAGAAGAATTCTCCAAGCGCATGCTGAATTAACATCTCAAAAGACAACGAAGTTGTTACCGAAAAAGAGGAAACGCCGGACAGCTGCTTTCAACCGCGAAGCTAAGGCAGACAGACAACGTTGGCTGGCCAAAGTTCGCTGCATATTAGGCTCTAGTTCCAGCTCCAACACGAGGAGTGCGAATGGAACTTTTGCCAGAACACTTCAACCGACGACACAAGCCAAGACAAAGATGAAGGACATGCCGAAGATTACATATCACGAACATCTGATCACGGAAGCGCCGGTTATCACGAAGGCAATCACCGACAACGATTCTGTCAACTCAAAATCGACGAGAGCAGATCCGACGAGGAAGAAGAGACGACGACGAAAGCGAAGCCACACTACGGGACAGCAACGAGCAACCACTACAACTGTTCACCGTAAACTCTCTTCCGTCTATAGCTTCCATTACTGTATCTAAGTCTACACAATTCTATGCTTTTGTTGTATTTGTGCCTACCTTAACTTCTTGCTTCCTCGCCCGGAGTGTTGATGATCTATGAATCATCAACCTCAATAACCAATCTAATCGCTTACACTCATGAACACAGCTGTCTCAATTTCTAAGTACAAATGCTTTTAGAAGGTTTTGATTGTATGTATTTGTTTACATTTCAACAGATTTCGCCTCCTCCTTGCTCGCCCGGAGTGTTGATGATTTATGTATCATCAACCTCAACAACTCTATAATCCTAATAGCTTACGGGTATTCCCCACAGGCTAAATTCCCCAACCGCTTATATTTAAGTGCCGAATCACTCACCAGTGAGTGGCACCTATCTTCCAGGGGCCGCGCCAAGCCGCGGCATCCTCTTTCTTGCATATATTTCCTGGACAGTCTGATTGTGCACGGGTCAGCTCCGCCTTACTACCTATATAAGGAGCCCCCGATTGTATTATGGGTTGCTCCCCCGGTCCAAAACCGGGTTCGTCTGTGGATAAATTATTATCGACACCACTATCGCCTACGACACTTGGTTCCCAACAAATATGTGCCAACCTAATACATTACTCGAATTCGACTACTTGAATATAGGAACATTCTAAAATTCGAATTTTCGAATATCCGAACCGAGCTTGATCGAATATTCGAATATTTGAATGAACGAATAGGATATCATCGAATATTCGAAAGCAACATTCGAATATTCGCATGCAATGCTCGAATATTCCAACGCAATAGTCGGATATTTCAATATTCGAGCAACGGTTCTTGAAATTGAATAATCGAATGAATAATTGCCTCTTAAAATTCCTTGACTAATCGAATAATATAATATTCGAGTAAGTTAATTTCCGAATCGTCGAGTGAACGAATTTTTCGAATAAAGACCTTGTTCATTAATTCGACTACTAATCGAATAATCGAATAATCCGGATTTTCTCGAACATTCAACTGTTCGAATATTCGAAGTTCTCGTGTAAATTATTCGAATACGAATATTTGGTTCCAACATAATTGATACATGTTGGAATATGTAACCATGGTGGGACTTTTTGTATTACAAAGTTGCCTTTACTCATTCCGCATGTAGTAGCACCACGGGCAGTCGTTTGAGGCTGAAATTCGTTTATTTTTACGTTGGGTTCATGTCGGGTTGAAATCCATAGTGAACACAAAAATTTTCTGAGTGCTGGAAGCCATTTGCCCCAAGCAGGTAAAGCGAAACCATTGTTTCCGTAAAAACGAAGATGCTACGAAAATTTACGGTACAGAGACTACAGTGGCAGGATAAGTATGATTGAATAAAAGTAGATAGAGATTTTTCGATGGTGTGACACACCTCTCTGCAACAACTTTTGCAAAATTAGAAAACTCATCTGCATAACACATTATTAACACATAACATGTATTAATAGTCATAGGTCACGACTCGAAAATTCAGTTGGATTATGATTTTGACCTCTTTCTTCTAAACTTGATATTTCTAAAGTAATGGCGAAAGTGACCCGCATCGGTCACCGACAATAGTCTGGCGTAGATACAGCTATGCCAAACTCAAATCAAATTTTTAATAGCAGACTTGGTTTTTCGAAGCAAGTGTGTGGTTTTATCCAGTATAAATTGTTTTGACAGCTCGGTGGAGCTACATGAGGGGAAAGAGTGAGGAGGGGTTGGGGATAACGCGCTGAAGAAAACTTCTTTTCGATGCGTTGATAAAAATGATGTTGCTCCAGCATTCAATTATCATAGAGGCGCTATTATAATTAGCTGAAGAAGAAACACTGAATTGAGAGCAATGCCTCCGCTCCTCAACAAGGTACTTGAGAGGCGATAATACAAGATTCATATCTTCAATACACGACTCATTTATTGTATCTTAACCTGTATGCGCTATGATTAGGATCATTTTACTTTAATCCAACGCAAGTCATAGAACATTTTACTCATTTCCTCATTTTATGGGTACACCGGCTATGATACTTGCAACGATTTTGGAACCCTCAGTGACTAGAGGCATTTGTAGAGATGCACCACCATCAATGACCAACACATGACCAACGATATACATCGACCTATTTCTGAAGTAAATTCAGATAAAACTTGACGTTTTGCTCAATCGAGGACGTGAGTTTTTTGCGTTCTTCTTACCTGTTCGCTAGAAACATGATACTTTGAGCTATATCTTCAGGCTGAGGTACCCGCTGTATAGGTATGAGTCCGCTTTTGGCCGTCAGCTTTTCTACCATCTGCAGAAGTATGGTTGGAATAATTTCTTTGTTTTTCAAAATGAACTTACGTCTTTGACTTTTTCGTTTGTATGTCTTTGTAGGATACTTGTAGATGTCTCTCCGGGACTGAAATTCTAATCAGAAAGGTATAGCTTTGAGTAAGTTGCGAGCGATAGAGTAATAAGTGAAAAAAGGATCTTCCTGTTTATACGATCTGCATCTGTATTTCTGACTTCCCGGAGGATGCACACTGGACTTTCTCGTATTTCCATTTCAAAGTAAGCAAGTGAACTTTTCTTAGGCGATAAAACTTAGAATGGCAGCTAATCCATAGGGTTGAATTTATGTTGCCATATGATATCAGGCATATATGACCTAAATGTGTGCCCAGAAATTTCGCGATTACTCTTTTTGGAAGGATTGTTTTTCTATAATAATTTGTAAGAGAGAAGTCTCATTAGTCTCTGAGTTTGTTTTTCTTATTTTTCCTTTTTATTAGTCAGTGAAGAAGCTTATAAAGCTTTTGAAAAGGATTTTTTTTTGCGAAAGTGACATCGAGCTGCCCCCGCCCCCCGCCCGAAGTTTTTGGGAGGTGAGTGTCCGGCACCACCATCTTCACTTTTGCGGGCCAGGGGTAGCTGGGACCACTTTCACATTTGGAGGGCCCGGCTCCACCCATCGCACCTCTGATGGGGATCCCAAACTGCGGCGTAATTCTTCCCAAAAGCTTCCTCAAACTCTTAAAAGCGTGATCAGGCACCGATCTTCTACGCACGGCAATGTTCCCGGGATCCTCCCATTCAGTGTGCGGCTGCGGGAAGATGTCTATTTTTTTCAAAACTTTAGCTTCCCGTCCGCAGCTTTCGTGACATCATAAATCTTGGAAAAATCCTATTTTTTGATTTTGCAACACCTCAGTAATAAACTAAGTCCTCAAAAACTTTTGGCTTATTTGCCGCAACTCCCTGGCGTTTGTTTGAGAACAACAGGATTATTGCCGCTTTCTTGAAATCTTTAGCGCAGATGGTAATATCTGCTCCATGACGAAGGCGGTCGCCCAAATAGGTTGAAAGCATGCGAGACTGCAGCACGCGGGCAATTGTCAACCACGGGTCGCGCGTACGCTCCCGTGAGCGACCGCTGACCGAGCGTGCGCGCGACCTGTGGTTGACAATTGCCCGCGCGCTGCAGCCTCGCATGCTTTCAACCTATTTGGGCGACCGCCTTCGTCTTGGAGCAGATATTAACCCTAACTTGCTCCATTGCAACGCTCGCGTTAGCGCACATCCTCGAGGTATTGTAAACTCGTCAACCGCAGGAACTGGTCGTAGACTGCAGTACTTGCGGCGCGGTTGAAATGTTACGAAAGCACGACTTGTACAATAGCGGTCTGTATTGTTATATACAGTCTTTTGGTCGCGCGGCATGTGTTCTGCAATATCACGCCGTTCCGGGTCTTAAATAACTCAACGGTATATCTTTCATTGTGCAGTGACTCAAAAGAGCGTGTACAACTTCTTTCCACATTTACCCACATGAGAACGATGCTGAAGAACATCCCCTCCCACCCAACCCCTTTGATCTTGATGCATTTCAAATAATACGGTCATTTTTGTTGAAGCTTAAAGCTTTGTTGTTGCAGATGGTTGAATGTAATGTTGAATGTTGCTATACCAGCTGCATAGCGTTGTGGTGATTCACCATCATTTCTTGCATGTCACTTTTCCCGACACATCAGTGCCTGATGATTCAACCTAATAAAGCGTCCTCCCATATGCTGCACCGTTGAATTATTTCATAACCGGCGACCCTTTGTACTTAAAAAGGAAATCGCTGCAGCAGTCGACTTATCCGCCCTTACTTTTGGTCTGTTTGTAAGCTCACTCTGTTATATCGGTGTTTAAACAAGACGCAGCCATTAATCCAAGGGGCGATCATTCATGGTTTCAAATTCTATGCCTTACAATAAAATTTTTTTGTATTGATTGCTTTGACCTTTTCTCTCATACTTGATTGTCCTTCTGATATAATGTAGACAAAGTTGGGACGCAAACTGTTGACATCCTTTGGCTGAGTGGTATAGGCCGTCCGCGCAAGGCGCGGAGAGTGAGCAGGGTGTGTACTGCACGTCACTCCACTTTCCTAGTGCACTCTCGCCGCTTGTTTTCTCTGCGCCTGTCTAGTTATGAGCTATCTTCATCAGCTTGCTCTCCGAGCACGGCGGGGGCAGCTTATAATCAATTCGTCATTGTCCGATAACTCTCTTCTGCTCAATGGCACCCTTACTATTATGGCAACTATCGTCGAGTCATTTGTAACCTGCCTGATAGTAAGCATACACTACGCGCAGTAACTGACGACACCCTGATTAACTCCTCAGTAAAACCTTTTATAGCTTAATAAAAGCAAGTGTGTACTACTTACTAACACCTTTCCAATCAAACCAAGGAAAAGGAAGAATCATCTATATATATATATATAAAACTCAAAAATTGTCAGTTTGGAGGGTATGTGCGTTATAGAAACGCGCACCGCTCAACCGATTCAGCTGAAACTTTGCACACATATGTTTTCGATCCCTGCGCAGATGATAGGCTACTTTTCGCAGCGATTCGTTGGGTCCTTCTATCGATTTATTGATTTGTTTACGTTTTTCTAAGGAGTTGAGGGTTTATCATGTTCAATCAAGCATTTTACCATAGTCTGTAAAGAAGGGCGGTGAAGCTCATTTTTATCCCAGGATCACGAGGATGCGGTTTCGAAGCGGGTTCCAGGGTAAGTCATCCACAACATATAAGAAGGGGGGGGGGGGACTTGCAGTGCAGGTGACTAATGGCCCGGGCTGGACCGGGAAAGCCAACTAGTAACTTATAATAACGGGCTAGGGATGTTTACGTGTTTTTGTGTGTGTGTGTGTGTGTGTGTGTGTGTGTCTGTGTGTACCCTCGATATCATCCCATATGTCTTCCCTCAACATGACGTGGATTTCGTGGCTTGATGAGGCGCCACCTCGCCTCGGCCTTGCTTGCGTGCGCATCTTCGGCGTGATGTGGCAACAAGAAGAACGTGGAAAAGCCTGGGCCACGTTGTGTTGAGTGCCACGTCGCGCCAAACGATGCGCTCGCAAAGTGGCGCGAGTCCGAGGCGAGGCGACGCCTCATCAAGCCACGTAATCCACGTCATGTTGAGGGAAGACATATGGGATGATATGGAGGGTAAGGCCCCGGACAGACTTCACGAGATTTGATCGTCGCGACTGAATCGCGACGAGACAACTGTTACAACATCATTCCATGCCGATCAACTTGCATTTCGGTTGTGATACTTTTCCAGCCCGAAATTTTTGAATGTGAAATGAAAATGAATGGAAATGTCGGCGATTGAGTCGCGACGATCGAATCGCGTGAAGTCTGTCCGGGGCCTAAGTCTGTCTGTCTGTAACGAAATTCGTAAAACGTGTTCCGGCCAACCTCCTGAGCCCAAATTTTTCACAGCGCATGCTACCAACATGAGAGCCCACGAGCTATACTAAAGCACGAGCGGATCCGTTGCGTGGATCCCTCAAAAAATGCACGTCTGTCGGATTCACTTAGCTTTTGGCCAGTGAAATTGAGCCCGTAGTACAACTTTTTGCAAAGTCACGAACATGTTTGACAAGTTAATGTGCAAGCCAAGGACTTCAACCTAAAAGTTTGAACTAAACTTTATTACTTTGCGAAAACGACGCCAAAAAGGATGGTTGCGTAGATGGTCAATTTGTCAAGATTTCACCCGATCATTTGAGAAGATTCTTGCACAGAGATATAGCCCATGGTGATTATTGCATCTTATAGCGAATGCCGAGCCATGAAAAGTCCAAAAACCTATTCAGATTTGCATTTGTTCTCTTGGAAAAGTTTTGTTCAAGCGAAATTACCGATCTCATTTGGAAAGCTTTCAGAATGAATAGTTGTTTACAAACCGTTCGTGATAGTCCGCATAGCGCGGTGAGCTTCAATGTCTCTACTGTCGGGGAATAAGAAAGGCGTACAGATAGTAGGACCAGCGCGAGCCTCTGCGAAGCACAGGTGACGCACTGGCCGCACAATTTGTAATGTTGCTGCACACTGATTTCTCGAGATATGAAGTATATGATGAGCATCACAATCTGAGGAATGAACTGAAAAATGGCAAAAAAAACTTTTTTACGTTAAGAACGCACTTTAAGGCCCCGGTCAGACTTCACGCGACTTAATCGTCGCGATCTAATCGCCAAGATTTCCATTCATCTTCATTTCACATTCAAAAATTTCGGGCTGGAAAAGTATCACAACCGAAATGCAAGTTGATCGACATGGAATGATGTTGTAACAGTTGTCTCGTCGCGACTCAGTCGCGACGATCAAATCGCGTGAAGTCTGCTCGGGGCCTAAGGAAAATGTCTCATTTTCACCACTACAAATCTACTCTAATTGTAAGTGTATGATACGCGCGGGAATTCTTTAGCTTTACTCAAAATTGGCAAAAACGAGCATCTTCCCCTTGCAATAAATGAATGGAGCATATCATTCGGAATTTGGAAGAGTCGAGAAGTTCCCGCACAAGTTGGAGCCGCAAAGTCGTGGACTTTTAATCTAACATTACAACATGCGCTTTCAAAAGTGTAAAGAAATGGCAAACTTGGCCGATCGCGAGCGAAACTGGATTGCTCGAGCCGATCTGGAAGCAAATTTCTTTGCGTGTGAGCCCATAGGGTATGTCAGGACTTATTTTCCTCATTTGAGGGGGGGGGGGGGACAAGCAAGTCTCACACGAAAAAATTTACCTTTGTCAGCCACCACCTCTAAGGTCATTGAGACGATTAGGATGAACTCATTAAATTTTGTCATTATTTGCCAAAATCTGCTCTTAAACACAGAAAGAAGAAAACTAAAGAGTATGACGGCAAGTTTTGCAATCTTGCATTTGCGTGACTCAAGCAGCACGTATGCCTCTCATCAAATCAATGCTGACGAGTCATCGTGTTCTCTTGATGAACCATTCCGCAGCAATGATAAGGTCTGTATGACTCATTATAATGCATGGTGTACCAAAAGTTTTGTCCGTTTTTTCAAACCACTATAAAACCACGCGCAATAAGGACCTGAATGAGTTTCAGCGTTCATTCGATGCAGCTTTTCCTTCCCTTTCTTAAGGATATATTTTCAAACCAAAATCTCGTGTACTTCTTTTGATATCTGCCAAATTTCCCCACCCTTCAATTTTATCTGCTTCAAGTTACTCTAATTTTTGAAAATTCATTCCTAAGTTTGGGAAAGATTTAAGTATGCATCAAATAGAGCAATTCTTGGACCACAAGGTAATAAGTTTAGATTTTTTTATTCTGCTGTCTTTGGTTTCAAAAAATTATTTCTTCTGAGGTCTCGATTTTTGGCTAAGTCATGAAACACGCAACTGCGGCAATCAAAAAGATTTTGAAGTTCCTGCGAATTGAAACAGATCCTTATTAAAAATTATTTATGCATCATAACCAAGTTAAATTTGCTTTGAAAAAGCAGCTTTTTGGAATTTTCGGTGTTTTTACATGATAAACGTAATCAAAAAGCCACGGTTTTTATAAAAGAGTTATAGTTATAATGGACTTGATAAACGTGGCTCATGTAATCTAAAATGGGTACAATATAGCCAAAGGTTTGCTCTATCTAACAGCTACCAGCGCTCTTTGAAAATATCAGGATAAAGATTTTCAAAATTCAGTAAAGATTTGGCGTCAATGCTGAGCTGCTCAAAAATCCGTGGCGGTAACTTTGCAAAGACAGGTAGACAGGCTCTCTAATCTGAATGGTGTTTAGCTCTAAACACCATTCAGATTAGAGAGCAAATATAACTGTACGAAAGAAGATAAAAATCTAAGCCAAGTGACACCCCAGTTGTCCAAGGACATACAGGGTGTCCCAAAAAATGTTTCGAACGTTTGATCGTTAATATCTCTCTTCCCAAGAAGTCTTTTGCCTTGCTTCAGGTACCGTTAGAGCTGGCTTCAACTTAGATTTGCATTATAAAACGAATCACCCATCTCTCTTCATTACTGTAGGATTAAGGTAGAAACTTGAAACATCACCTGTTTTTGGTGTCAATATGGAAAAGCTGCCTTTTCAAAAATTTTCAAAATAATGTGAAAACATGTGTAATAGGGTTTTTATGGACGCTGAGTTTAATGCTAAACTATTCACAAGATTACGAGACTTTCTAAACGGTTTAATCGCACTTTTGAACATTGAAAAAAAGGCCGCTACCTCTCACCTGGCACAACTCTTCAATGAAGCATCATAATAAGTTGGGAACTTTACAGTTGTAATCGGCAACTCTAGTTAGCCTAGTGTAAAAGTTTTCAGGCTGTTTTGTTTCTTTTTTGAGGCAAAATATGGCCTTTCATGGCTCAAAACCCTCTTTGAAGTTTCTACCGTAATCCTACAGTAAAGAAGAGAGATGGGTGATTCGTTCTGTAATGGAAATCTAAGTTGAAGCCAACTCTACAAAACGGTACCTGAAGCAAGGCAAAAGACTTCTTGAGAAGAGAGATATTAACGATCAAACGTTCGAAACATTTTTTTGGGATACCCTGTATACTCTGTTAGTTTTAGTAAGCGATGAAAAAAACGGACAAAACTTTCGGGACAACCTAATACATGGTGTACAAACCAAGTGCACACTGTTTAAACGTTTATAACTCTTTTTCCACGAATTCTTTTGTTTAGCTCTAAACACCATTCAGTAGAGCATGCTTCAGCTTAGATTTACGGTACGGTGTGAAGCAAATTGTCCAACACTCTTCATTACTGTGGAATTACGGCAGGAACTCCCGACCTATAGCGCGGTTGTAAGAAAAGTTCAAAAACATCTGGAAAATTTTGTGTTAGTGTTTTCAGACATCTCATTAGACAGCTTTTCATAAGTTCTGATGCGTTTTAGAATGTTTGACCACAATTCTGAAAAACACTGAGAAAAACGTTATTGCGGTTTACCTATCATAACTTATGAGAAAAGTCTTGCGATAAAGTGCAAACTTCATATTCGTAGTCAATGAGCCAAGTTAGCCTAATGATAAAGTTTTCAGAGAGTTTAGTATTCATTCCGAGGCAAAATGCAGTCATTGGTGGCTTAGAACCGTCTCTAAAGTTCCTACCGTAGTCCTTCGGTAAAGAAGGGAAATGGATGATTTGCTTTATACTGTAAATCTAGCGGAGAATGTCACTAACGTAGGTCGGCCTTCTAAAAACAAAACCTGTACCTGGAATCAGCTTGAAACGCTGAATTTAAATATCTTGCCGCTAGCTGCGAAGCATTATTTTGAAAGAGTTATGGGCTTTTTCCTGTGCAAAATTTGGATGCTAAACGACCTACCGGGATTACGGTATCAACAAGAGGTAGTGCACATGCACAATGCTCCCTATCAGCACCAAAAGACTTGACTGATGTTATTTCAATAATCCAGCACCTTTTTTTAAGCAGATCTAATTTCTCATGTTCAGTAGTGCGCCAACACCGCGTAGTAAGAAGCTCGTAACTCTAGGATAATACTTCGCAGCTAGAAACAACAAATTTGGACTCAGCGTCCCAAGCTGATTCCGACTATATGTGCCGTTCATTAAAAGCCGGCCTAAGTTAAGTGCCTTTCCTTGTAAGTTGAGTCTGCTCAGTGAATGATACTCAAAGCTAAGAAAAGGCTTTGTGGGAAGAGGTTATCAACGGTTGAAAGGTGTGTACCTACCTCTAGGACACCGTAAATTTCCATGATATGCAAAAATTTTCCAATTTTTTGTAAGCCCGTACCTACAGTGTAGCAAATTGGTATCGTGTTCCTGCAGTGACAACAATAGCGGAAAAAGTGCCGTGCTTGCGGATACAGACAATGTTGTGGTTTGCGCCTGAGAATGGCCATGGGACGCACGTCCTAATTTTTTTTGATTGCGAGTGACAACAATGAAACTGAGTACATATTTGGCAACGGTTGCAAAGAATATTGTGAAGCCTACTCTGTCATTCCAAAAGCGAGAAATAAAGAAAATGAAATCAAGTGCCCAGATTCGGATAGACATCATCTTCAAGTGCTCCTCTAGTCGTGCTTATACTTGACTTGAACGTATCAAAATTGCACGCAACATGTTGTTTATGGTTACTCCGATTAATTTATGAAAAATTGAAGTGGTCCATTAACATTTTTAGGAGCTATGACAGACGCGCCGGAAGAATTCATTATGTTACCAGAATGCAGTGCATCTAATGATTCAGCAAACGCTGCAGCGAATACAGACAAGGAACCAGCTGCATGTAATGCCAACGTTGATGAGAGTAAAGATGTCGTCGTTAGCTTAAAGAGCCCAGATGAGGTGCATCTTTTTCTTCGTTGAATTTTTCAGCTATTGCAGGACCCCTTCTCACGAAAAAATGTAATTGGAATTCTTAGAACAGCATAGTCAAGAGCTTGGAAAAATTTGCTAACCCAAAATTCTCTATTCTGTTTCGAGCTACAACTAACACAACGTCTTCCAGTTACACCACCCTTCTCAAAGGTAGCTCGACAAAACAACTTCTCGATTTTTGCACGAAATGGCTTATCGTTGCTTTGTTTCTGTGTATTGATCAGCGTGAAAATGACGCACAAAGGCAAATCACAAAGATCTCTCTGTCAGGGGCTGCGTTTGAAAAGTTTGAAGTTCTTCCATTTGCTTTCCTCGAACACGGTCCAGTGTAATGCACCGTACTCAATCGATCTTCTGTTCACTTTTCAAATGAAGATATTGTTCCTTAAACACCGTAGTGCGAAGCATTGAAGTCAAGTCTTCTGCAAAGGAGTATCGAGTTTTCTGAACTGAAGTCCCTTAGCTGAAGTGAACTCCCTTAGCTCAAAAAAATCTCGAGATTTTCTTAATTTACTCTAATTTCACAGAAATTTTCTCCCTCTGTAGCTGAAAGTTCAGACGTATATGTGTTAAAAAAGTCGCCAGAGAGCTGTTGCTTTGTGTTTCAGTCGGAACCGCCTCATCGATGCACTGACGACGAAACTAGTTGCGAAGGAAATAGACAGGATCAAGATGATGTCGCAGGAGATACTATCCTCTCTCAGGAAGAAGATGAGAAGAGGTATAAATCACTTGCGATGTTAAAATGTTGTGAAAACATAGGTTGGTGTTCCCCATATCACCGACCCAATTGCTGCCTTTCGCGCATTGGGCACACCAAGTTTCAAGTGCATTCGCGCGAAAGGCAGCACGAAGCCGCGAGAGGCAAGCGATGCCGTGGTGCCCAGGGAAGGAGTGCTAGGATACAGTCCACAAACAGAACTACAGTACGCTTCACACATACATGTTTTGAGGCAAAAGGTTTTCCAGAATGTCATTCTTGGACGCCACCATCCGAACATTCCATTCCATTCCATTCCCCATCCCAAAAACTCTGGGATGTGATTCCGATGTTAGCGTGGATCACGATCAGATTCTGCACAAGCAGGTATACTTCTAAATCAAGATAGTAGGCATTTCAGGTTAACTTTGTTAATGGATGGCTGATAGAATGTGTTTAAATCTTACAATCAGCGAATGCTACAAGTTGCAGGCAAGTACATCATTCAGTATGCTGAGAAGTTATGGTTTGCTATGTGATGTTGAGCTATCTACCGGTGATGCAAGGACGATTATCGCTCACAAGGTACTTTTCTAGATAATATAACAGTAGAAGTCACTCGTAATTTTTCTAGGTTATCCTAGCTGCAGTAAGTAGTTACTTCCGTGCGATGTTCACGGTTGACATGGTGGAATCGAAAAAGAATAAGATTACCATGCACAGCAAGTTTCATTTCCCATGCTATTTACGCTAATTTATTCAGTAATTCTTCTCAGATATTGACTTCATCACATTGGAACAGATAATCAACTACATCTACTCTGGACGCATACAGCTCAATGGCAAAAATGTGCTTCCAGTGATGTTTGCCGCAAATTTTCTCCAGGTGCAGCAAATTATTTTTCATGAATAAAAAATTCCATAGAAGTAAGCGACTAAATGAGTGATTTGTTACTAGGGTGTCTCATAATTTTTTACCGTTTTTAATACAACCATCGTCTTTTTGCACCTTTCCATCAGTTGATGTGGCTTAAGTTATCATACAGAGCGAAGCAAGCTCTACTAATTGGCTATCAATATTTTGTTCAATTCATATTCCACTGAAGCTGTGAGCTGAAATATGATAGCAGTCAAAAACGAACTTTACCGTAAAAAATCGTATCTCGGTCTCAAAAAATCTCAAAAATTCCCCCTTTAGCCTTGACACATCGAACATTCAACTGTACACTTTTCGTATTTTTTCCGTGGCTAGAAAGAAAGAAAAAATGGGTGGAGTAAAATGGCAAACTCCGCCCCTAGAATTCCTGAGCACTTCCTACATACCTAATCATCAGTGGCGTACCCAGGATTTCGGCTCGGGGGGGGGGCGACAAAAATTTTTTTCTGATGAAGGTGCGTGGCGTTAGCCACGCACCCAGAAAATTTTTTTGGTACCCTTCTTAAAATTTTCGCGGCCCCAGAACCCCGAAAAAAATTTTTTTTTACAAGGCTAAATTGAATTTTCAAAAAATTTAAAAAATTATTTTAATTGTTTACAAGTGCAGACAAGTCTTTTGCACAATTTTATAACCCATGTAAGTAACTTTCAAAAATTTCGCGACCCATTCTCGGGGGGGGGGGGGGCGCCCCCCCCCCCCCGCCCCCCCCCAAGCAGTGGTATCAACGCAGAGTACTTATACATACAGAAGTAGGGTCATGTATTTGTATCCTTGTAGGTGCCCCAGTTATCGAGAAATGCTGATGTCTAGGGTAAAAACGGTAAAAAATTATGAGGCACCCTAATATTATGTGGGACTAAATGAAGAAAATTTCTGATTTTTAACAGGACCTCAGTGCTTGTGGAAAAAAAACTAGGCTGTAGTTTCTGACAGTCTTCCTTTTTAGAATATTGGTGTTGCAAACTTGGAAAAATCCAAAGAACTTCATGAAAAATTTCCGAGGGTTTTCCTGGTGCCAATATTTCACAAAATGAATTCTTTCTCCTCAAGCAGTGGTATCAACGCAGAGTACTAGCCGCTTTCACATTTTAGTTACCTGCAAAAAGATAGAAGGGGGGGGGGGGGGAGAGATTGAGTTATGTTAGACTCAAATACCTATAGATGATTAATCGAAGATGAGGATAGCGCTGAATTCCAAAGCTAATGGCATCGAATTTGGCTTTCTAGCAATGTTCTTGTACACCGTTCGGCTTCCTGAGGTTTGTAATACCTATTTACAATACTCAAAAATAATTAAAGATAGGACGCTATGAAGATCCGAACTGGTAACAAGCAAAAAAAGCGTCATAGTCATAGCAAGACAACTTCTTTTTGGCTGTGAAAGGCTTCGATCGACAGTGATAAAAATAGTTGCTGATAAAAGAAAGTACTGGATTTCGAAATGTGAAAGATTAAAGTACAAAGTCGACACAAACAGTGATCATGCTTTTCATACACGGTTTTGGAGCTGACAGTAAATTTTTGATAATCCTTTATTTATTTCAGCTGAATGATCTGACTGAAAGATGCGCAGAATTTTTGAAAAATCGTCTCAATGCATCAAATGTGCTCTTTGTTCGGGCAATTTGTTCGGCTCTAAATTGCAGGTATGTCTTCTTTTTTTTTAGTAAAACAAAAAAGTTTGAAGACCCCTCATTTTAGATCAGCGTTGAGGGATACTGAACGTTTCATAGAGACGTATTTCTCACTGGTTTGCGACAGTGATGCTTTCTTGGACTTACCCATTGATGACCTGGTCGAATTATTGTCTAGAGATAGTTTATACGTTGAAAACGAGGAGTCGGTGTGTAAAGCAGCTTTGCGCTGGGTCGATCACGATGCGGAACATAGGAAACAGTTTATGTGCAGGTCAGAAATTCCTTGTCAAAATTGTAATTTTCGAACCTGTTTTAAGTTTCCTCATTCTAATCGGCCATAATGTTGAGTCTTTCACTCTCACAAAGGCTCTTTTCCGAGCATTAGTATAACGTGAGCGAAAACGAAAACTGTTTCAAGCAGTACGGCTTGTCATCGATCTGAAACCAAACTCTTTCTTCAGTCAGGTTTCCCATATTGAATGTACCGTCCACCCAAAGTGAGGTTGGCGACATTTTGCTGCTGTATGATAGCTGGACCCCTATCTGAGTAATTTCAAGTCCCGCTGCAAAAGGTGAGTTCCAAGGCGAGAAAGTCGCTCCAGAATTAAAAGCGGGCCAGGCGGCACCGCCTATCAAAGCGGGTGGTCTGAAGATACTAGTCCAAGGATGTATTTAGGATTATCATAAATCCATCCTTTGCTATGATTATCGGATTTTCGACATTTCTATCTATTCTGAAGCCCAATTTTAGACTTATCATCTTCAGACCACCACGCTGATGAGCGGTGCCGCCTGGGCCGCTTCTGCGTTTTGGAGCGATTTTGCCACTTTGGGATTCACCTTTTGCAGCAGGACTTGGACGATTACTTACTTAGGGACCATACGGATTATACAGCATCAGAATTCACCAACCTCAATGTAGAACGGTGCCTTCAAGCCATAACATTTGGTTCCTATAATAGAAGACTATTATTCGTGAAAATCAAGTGACTGGTCACATATGACTTTGTTTGCATAAGTGCAACATCCAAGGAGTTTCAAAAATGTGTGATCACTGTCTGGTAAATAGTTCTCCTGCTTTGAGGTCTTGAGCAGTTCTACGCTTATTTTACATCTGCAATGCTGGCTTCTGCTCAGTACAGGGCATGTCACCAAGTCTCTTGGCTACTGTTACTATAAGGAATTTCAGGAATTTCCGCCATTGTGAATCAGTGTTGAATTGTAGGTGTTAGTGGGTTAGTAGGCCGAACGAGGTTAGTAGTAATCTCGGTCGGCTTACTAACCTATTAATACCTACACTAACAATGCCGAGGTTTACGAAAGAGGAAACTTGGAAGTGTTGAAAATATTACAAAAAAAATGTGAGGAGATGTGTAGCAAGTTTCTTGCGCACACTGATTTCACTACTTGATTTTTTTCAAGTCCGTGGAGCTTTTTGAATGGTGACTTTTCTAACAAAAAAGTTTATGTCACGCTATACCTGACCAAAATGATTGAGTTTTTACGTAAATTGCAATTTTTATAACTAAAGTCAGCGACTCTTATAATCTAGTGTAAGTTCAGGTTTTTTAGTTCCTTTCTGACAAAATATGACCCTCATTGGCTTAGTACCCTGTTCAACTCCCACACAAAAAGCGATTGGTGATTTGTTCAACTGGCAAAACTAAGTTGAAGCCAGCTCTACAGTATACTTGGGTCCGAATCGAATAGAAATTCGATCATTCGAATAAAACATTCGAATATATTCGTATTCGAAATTCGATATTCGGATTTCTTCCATATTCGAATAATATTCGAAACTCGAATAATCAAAAAACAGAGTTTCGAATAGATTTTATTCGAATGTTTTATTCGAATGTTTATTCGAATTCGTATTCAAATGACTCCGTATTCAAATTATTCGACTTTTTGCAAAGCGAACTGCTGAGTATCAAGCTCACTTCGTCCGCGTTTATTTTTTCGCAAAACTCGGTAATGCATCTTTTGCAACCGTTACACCTTTGAACTGTACGGAGAGTCGCATTCATCCGACGTCTTGCGACAGTAAAAAAATCATATGTGGATTTTAATTGATGTAGAAAGTAGAGCAAGCCCTTTGCTTTTACATTGTTGATGCCGATAGAAATAAAGTTAATTCTGGTGCACATCAGTCTCTTTGAGACCATCTGAAGAAGAATTTTGGGCACAGCATAAAAATTTATATCGACTGCTTTTTACATCGTCCATAATGGGTAAAATATGACTTTTTGCTGATGTATAGACTAGATGCCGACCGACCGATTTTATCGATTTTTGGGGAGGTTTGAGCTGCGGGGCTGAGAGTTGGTGCAAGGGGGTAAATGAGGGTGCTGATTATGGATAAAAATTTACTTTATAAATTTTATCGATTTTTGGAAAATCTCGAGCTACGAGCTTGGGAGTTGGTACAGGGTAAATGAGGATGCTGATTAAATCTATTTTATCGATTTCAGCAATATTTGGAAACTTTTGAGCTAGGAGTTGGTATAGGGGGTACTAGGGGGCTGATTATGAGTGGATCGGCTCTAGCCAGATATGTCGGCAAGTTTGAGGTGTGATTGCTTTAGTTATTCGATAAATCATTCGAATATTTATTCGAAATTCGACTTCCAATGTTCGAATATATTCGATATTCATTCATTCGATATTTTTGATTTTCCGAATTTATTCGAAATTCATTCATTCGATATTTTTGATTTTCCGAATTTAATCGATATTCGTTTATTCGAAATTTTTCCTTTTCGAATTTATTCGATATTCATTCATTCGATGAAAAATTCTCGAATTACCCAAGTATACTCTACAGCATCCTGTGTAAGTGACAAAAGTGTTCAAAGGAAAAAGATATTACCAATCTTGGCACATTTCTGCATAACCGTGAAACCACACATTTGAAAGTACATAGCCCATCTCCAGTCACCAGTTATAATGCTTGTATCTACCGTAACATTCTACTATTTGCTTACCACTATGAATCTCTATTCAGAATCTTGAAAAGCATTCGGTTGCTATCATTGGAACCCACTTTTCTGGCAAAGGTTGTTGGGCGCCATCCACTTGTTCGTGACGACCGGAGAAGCAGAGATTTGGTGCATAACATCAGTTTGCGTCGTACAACGAACATTTTATCTTATTGAAATCGATTTTTAGGTCGATGAAGTGAAAGACTTTCATTTGATTCCGGAAGCAGATCGCACTATACCGTATCCATCCAGCTGCGATCCTCGTGAATGTCCTCATCGACCTTGTCTCATATTTGCAGTAGGTTCGCATTTTGAAAGCAGAGCTACATACAAAAAATTTGCAAACATTCTAAGGTGGTGCGTCAAGCGATGGCACATTGTGCGAAGTGGAGAAATACGATCCAATAAGAAGACACTGGGTAGCTGCAGAACCAATGACAGCAAAGCGAAAGAATTTTGGAGTGGCCGTTCACGATGGCTTGGTGAATTTTATTCTTGCTACTCTGTTTTTGTGTTCCTGTACATAATATTGCTGTGCTGTGAGATTCTTCGAAAACAGTCTTCACGTCGCGTAACTTTAATGAGAATACGGGTGCATCATCATCTGGCATTTTGCCAGGTCGTATCAGAGGCTCAGCATTCGCATGAATTAGAGACTTTGGCATATAAAATTAACTAACAAAATACGATCACTCAAGGTGAGTTAGGAAGAACGACACTATATGAGCGTCCCTAATGTTTGCGCTAGGGTGACCTGAAGCGGTTCCATAATATCAACAACGTGGGTTTGATTTCACATATCTTAAAAAGTTGGTTTTGCGGTTGACTACGTGCCAGTGGCGAACCGGGAGGGGGGGGGGGGGGGGGAACGGCGGGGGAGGGGGCAGGCCATCAGAATGCTCCCGAACTTTTCGAATGTTATTTGCATGAGGTACGTTTAGAAAATGTGACTTGTTTATACTTGTAAATAATGAGAATTGTTCTGAGAAAGTTTGAAGATTCAATCAGCTTTGCAAAAAAATTTTTTTCGAGGGAGTGTCTGCCGCCACACTCCTTTCTTCTGGAATTTGTGGGTTATTACGGGCCTGCAAAAATATGAGAAAGCAAAAATTCTTCGAAGTGCGTGACGTCAGGCACGCATTCTCATTCGAAAAAAAATTATGGCCTCCCCCCTAAACGGATACTTGAAACCGCACTGCTACATGCTTATTTTGTGACTACTTTCAATGATAGTGTGTCTGCGCAAATTTTGACATTTGACTGTTGTCCGTTGTTGGTTTTTTTTAACTTACAAGGAAAGGAAGGTTGGTCGAAGTGGCCTTTTTGAAATGATGTATAAGCCTTGTAGAGCTTGGAATGCTGATTCCAAATCTACCTTTGCTATCTGCTGCGGGCTTCCGGGCGAGGAGTTATGAAGGTTTTGTGAATAAAAATCTGGATGCAAAAACAGGGTCATGTCAGTCGTAACCTTTTCCCAATATTCAAATGAGGCAGCAGCGAGTTGGTATACTTGAATTAAGAATACTTGTTGCACCAAGTGACCCGACTACCAATTAAGCCCTATAAAAAATGTTACGACTGGTTTTAGCCTACTCTTGCATTCAGATTTTTACTCACAAAAATCTTCATAACTCCTCGCCCAAAAGCCCGCAGCAAATAGCAAAGGTAGGTTTGGAATCAGCGTTCCAAGCTCTACAAAGCCGTTTACATCTCATTTCAATAGGCCACTTCGACCAACCTTCTTTCCCTTGTTAGTCTAACTATTGCTGTCGGGGACCTGGAAATGAATATACGTCGACTCGTTTCAATACCTTTAAGAATACCGGAGGCAGTGTGGTGCCAAGTCTCGGTTGTCGAATTTTTTGCTAACTTGGGCTTACCGTTGAGCCGAACGCGTTCTTCATTCAGCATTGTTGACATGCGTAATAAGGTAGAAATTCGGAATTTGCAAAAAAATGTAAACCAAAAAATTTTTTATTGTGAAAATGTCTTCGGTATGCGCTTTTGTAAGATGTTTCCAACTCCTCAGATTTATGCTGTTGGTGGCAACTGCGATGATGCTCCTGAGCCCGTAAACACTATGCAGTCATTTAGTTGGTCTGCGAGCCAATGGAATGCAGTAAGTTAGAAGATTTACTAAAAAACAGAGTGGTAATTTTTACCATGTTCCGATGCCCGACATGCCCACTCCTCGAAGCAAATTGTCGGTTGCTGTGCTTGACGACAAACTTTACGCTTGTGGAGGAGAATGTGGAAATGGCGTAGTGAACACAGTACACGTGAGCGCAAGTCTGATTCTATTCCATCCGTTTAGCTAAAATTTGAGCATTGTATGTGATTTTTCAAATGATCACCCAGCATCATGATTCAATACTAATTAGAAAAAACTTTTGAGGTTAATGGACGTGAGATTTTGTCGTATTTCTTAGTAGATACAATGATACAAGAAAACGTCTCTAACAAATTTTATTTAGATCTTCGACTTTTCAAAAAACACTTGGGAGGAAGGTGTAGCCATGCCTCAAAATCGAAGAGATGCTGCTGTTGCCATTCTCGATGGTGCACTATACCGTGAGTCCTCAATATTTTATTGTTTATTTATTTTCATTTATCCATTTATTTGTTTACATACAGAGATGCAGCGAAAGTAGTAGAAACGAGATTGAAAATAAAAAAAACTGTTTTGCTAAATTTCTCAGATGTTTTAAGAGTTTCGTTGTAGCAACTGGACTAGGACATGGTCTTGCCTTATTTCGAGAGAACGTGATTGATACATATCTGAGGGAAATGCTTGGAAATTATTATGAATTATGGAAAGCATAATGATAGCACTTTGAAGGAAATTGTTCTGAACATCCATTTACATCATATAACTGGTCAACAGCTATCTGTTTCAGTATCCCATTCTCAGAGTTAATGAAGGATTATCTGATCACAGTCGCAATTTTCAACCCGGCCAAACAACTGTTATTTTAGTGATCGGTGGCCATGATGGAAATTCTGTGCTATCCTCTGTTGTACGATTTTGTGCCGCGAAGAACGAGTGGCTAGAGGTTCCTTCACTGGGATCACCCAGACATTTGGCTGCCGCTACCGCATTGAATGATAGAATCTACGTCTGTGGCGGGTAAGTTCGCTTTTTATCATTCTAATGTTGTAGACTGTGGGTCCGTTTCCTATGTTGTATCTCAAAAGAAAAGTGGTAGTTGCAAAACTCGCTTCGATTACATTAGCTCCGAATTTATGTGCATCAGTATCGTTGTAAGAGGTTGCAAAGCTGAAATTAGCGCCATGAAACGATCTGGAAAAAATGGAAATTGACGGTCTTCCTGGATTCCGTCTTAGTGCAGTATGTTTACACATCATTAATGTAGGCTTAAGATTTGTTTTTTCGAAAAGCCGAAACGTTTCTCACATTTGGATAACTTAGTATTCATGGGGATGCGCGGCTTCTTTTTTCTTTTGATTTTTCCTCTCATTGCCTAACAATCATGTCCCTGAACTGGTATCATGCTCGATCAAAGTTTTAGCTAATGTCATTTTCGGTTAGTGGTGTACCTTGGGTGTGTTATGAAATACAAAACTTTCTAAGCTATCACACGAAAGCTAAATCATTTTTTATTCCAATAATACTGGCTAGTGATTAGTTCTTCATTCAAGCAGTTTGCTGTATATATTCCTGCGAACACTCGCAATAACACAGTTTATTCCCCACTTATTCTTAATATGAGCTTCTGCATTTTCAGTTCAAATGGAAAAGAGGACCTAAATTCAGTCGAATGCTTCGATCCACTTCTGAACTACTGGTTCACCGTTCCGCCGATGAAAGTTGTCCGAAAAAATCATTTTCTCTTGTCCTATGACAATGCAATTTATGCCATAGCAGGGTACTTACTAAAAAGATCCACTGCAGAAGTGCTTCACTCATTTACTTTTAGGGAGAATGACTCAACCGCCCTTTCCTCTATGGAAGTTCTTCATGATGGTGGTTCCTGCGAATGGGAATTCGTCGAATATCTGAATACTAGCAGAAAAGAGTTTGGAGCTGCCGTTGTTCCGATATCTGTTAGTCAGCTGAGATCGTGATCAGGTGCTAAGACCTGCTTCTTCTGTGACAGAGAATCATCACATCGTCATGAATCAATCATTCATGAATCATTCCTTTATTTTCTTTCCCCTTTGATTTTGATGCTGGAGTTCTGTCATGTCATGTTATAATCTCAGCTCAACACTGAAGATGTTTTTGACTATTCTACGAATGAAATTTTCTTCGTCGAATTTTTTTTGCAACTTATGCACATCTGGTAATTACGCCCTCTGAATGACGCATAATCTGCGGCAAATGCTACAGTTGTTAGTATAAAGTCAACCATAAAGTCTAATGCCGGACGAAGGCGCAGTAGCAACAAGACAAGCGGGCGCGAATGGAGGGCGTGGGCGGCTACGTGGTTGTGCACTCCGCGCCCTAGCGTCTCCATAGAAAATTGATTCTAATTATACTTTTTGCCTGCTGAACGTTTTTGTAGATAAACTTGAACCATCATGTTGAAAAGAAATTATGTGTGCAAAGGGCGAATTTGAACATATGGATCTGTGCTTGGCTTAATGCTCTGCCGAAATGTGCAGAAAGGTTACGTGAGCTAAAAGGCATTCATGTGCCTAATTTTGCAATTCGTATGGTCGATTTTATGAATACAGCTGAGCTCATAACAAAAACGGGGCCCGGCATATTATCCGCGTTGGCACAGTCGATAGATCATAACTGCTCAAAATCATTCCTACAAGTTTTTCTGCTCGTTTTTGGAAAGCTACTGGCACAAGGAATAAGAAAAACGTATAATTTTTCAAAACTGCACGTCCACAAGAGAATCAACACTATCGCTACGGAATTTTCAGGCACAAACCGTAGCATTGTCTCACTTATTTTAAAATGGGGATTTTGGATTTTTGTCTTTATTTTTGAAATGTCTACACCACAGTGGTTGCAATGACATGATAATTCCTGAAAAAACACTTTTTGGGAAGATTTTAGCAGATTTGCGATAGAAAAATTGCGACCAGACGGTCGCAACTGCACAACAACTACGAGAAAATGATTTTTTCTATATTCTGTTGTAGTTTAACGTTTCCTGACATCGCGATGATTGGCAGCATATAAAATCTTTGGGAAGAAACCTCCGAGGGTTTTGTGAAGCTGCAATGTAAAAATCGTGGCAAAACCGTTGCAGTGCGCTTGCCGCACTTGAATTGAACTTTTCTCAAACCTGACTCCCCTATCAGAATCCAGGGCCTATGCTGATTCCATCGACAGGTGTTTACGGCAAAATGGCCTCCGTGGAGAGATTGGGGGGCGATGTGACGGTGCTGTTCGCACTTGAGCGTCGCGCACTTACAATCTTAAGCAAGTCACAGATATTTTCATTTTTTTCACCAAGTTAATTGTTATAAAGTTGAGATACTGCGAGGGTGCAATGCACATAACATCGTCCACAAAGACTCTCTGCTGATAAGGAAGACAGATCTGTCCGGTTCGGTTACCGCCAAGTCGTAAAGAAAGCGCACCATGAAATCTCTCATGAAACATTTATCAAGTCGATTAGGTTGTAAATCTATTTGTGAGGATTGCTTCCTGGAAGTACGCTGGCGAGAATTTGTGGACCTTCCGCTGATAGCGGGAAGTGTAAAGATGATCCACCGTCGACGACTAGTTGGTGACCAACAATGTAGCTGGATCGTTTCCTAGAAAATAGTTTACAATTCTCTTTTTCGATAAAAATAGTACAATTTTGCGAAAGTAAGTCGTCATGACATTTAATAAATTTTAAGGTGTGTTCAGAGTCAGATTGTCGTAAAAGAAAATGAATGAAAATTCTATCTTCATCGAGAGTACAATTTTGCGAAAGTAAGTCGTCATGACATTTGATAAATTTTAAGGTGTGTTCAGAGTCAGATTGTCGTAAAAGAAAATGAATGAAAATTCTATCTTCATCGAGCACTTGCTTAACACACTGACGACAACGCAAATTTAGTTGTCTGCCTGAGATCGAGGCATTTATGAGTCAGTCAACATTTTTGAAATAAAATCTAGCTTACATAAACAGTATATCTAAAGTAGCTCTGAGAGGCTCAGAAAAAAGATGGAGGCTGTCCATAGCTCCAGCGTAAGCGAGGACTTTTGGAATGGGTTTATTTTGTCCCATAGTCATAATTTACGGTGGTCCACACGGTAGTCTTCGCTTGGCACACCATGTATATCAAGCAAAGTGTTAACAACGGTCGCCAAAGTACTAATAACATTTTTTGTGGGGCTCTTTCTACGACATTCAAAAAAATCACCAAAATGTCTTGATATGCTTGAATAGTCATGCTTACCTGAAGTAGTAAACAGGGAAATGCTCTTATTGATGTGTACATGCTCGAACATCTCCTACGTATTGTGGCCGAACCGACCTATCTAACAATCATCTCGCAGTAAAGCGGGCGGGTTCGGAGGTCAGTGGGGCGCCTTCTGTTGTAAGCTTAGCCAATCTCACAATAAACGTTCGTAGGGACGTGTTGTTAGCTCCTAGTGTTACAGTGCCCTATAGTGGCACAATTCTGGGCAGATTGAAAATTTGCAAGTCCGTTCTATTGAGAGATTTGCAGTGGTCATTGAAACAAAGTTCGTAGGATTTTTTTGGTGGACGAATTTAGATTTGTCCCAATTTGCATGGAACATTTGCTGGTACAGCAAATGTTGTAGTTGCCAGATTTACCAATATTGCCAGCATGACTAATGCTGAAGACGTTCCTTAACAACATGGTTCGTCGGGATTTTGTTTAGATCTTTTGATTGTCATATGCTCGTTTTGGATGCTAGTGTTGGATTCCCTCTGTCAACCGTGTTTGTGGACCCCGTCGTGGATATTGGCGGATTAGGCACATCGGGTATCGATTGCGTCGGGGCACATCGGTTGTAAATGACGTGGACTCTGCACCTGAGATTGACCTCGCGTCTCATTTAGTGTGCATGGAACACTTACTGGGAGTTCGCGGCCGTTATTCGGAGCTGTATATTTCTAGAGGATAAATCCTATTCGCTGTTCTCTTTAGTATTCGTTTATTTGGCATTAATAATTTTACGTACGAATTTCATTGTTGCTTGGAATAAGCTCTATGAATTTCATGTAACCAGCCTCCGCGAGAAACGAGCTCTTGCACCAGTAATACAATTTCGCAAACGTTTGGATCTCATTCTTGTGTCTCGATTGTTTGAGAGGGCTTCTATGAGTATCTCATAGTAAACTTAGATATTGTACGTGCCAGTAATTTCAAATTTATTGGAAATAACTTCAGGAAACTCGTACGCTTCTTTTGCTTGCGCTACCGTTTGAATCACTTCTGGGCCATACTCCTCATCTCTGCCTCTAGACGTAAACCGGGGGGAGAGAAAATTTTGGGTTCCCTTGCAGAAACTCGACCGGTCACTTCCTCTAAATGTGGTAGTTTTTGCGACCAACCGTTTTTTGAAAGCTTCTTTTAACGGATCCAACTTCCCAAACTCCATTCATCCATGGGGATGCTGGTGGATTAAAAATCCATTTGATGTTTTTTTTTTGCTGAGTATGTTCGGCCATCTGCCCGAACCCTATTGTAAATCACCCGCCATAAAAGCGGGCGGGTTCGGGGGTCGGGGATTAGCGGGGCGACAGCCTCCTCAGTTCGCAACAAACGTTGAACAGAACGTGTTGTGTGCTCGCATCTCAGCTGCCACATATACTGGCACAAATTTCTGATGCATCGGCCGAGAAGATTTCTGAGACGTTACTTGCTCTGCGATAAACAGTTGCAAAAGGAAAAAGAGTGTTCCATCCTATCCGGATCTGAACAACGAAAACGCCGTTGAGCGATGTCACTCTTTCTACACAAAAAAGCAATCAAACGCGGCATTCAATCCCTCCAGAAATTCGTGGAGGAATATACACCTTACACGAAGGAGATGCAGTTGAATGCCCCATTTGATGAAAATTATGAAGCGTGTCGGGACGCAATAAACAGCATAAATGGAGGCATAAAGGTCATTTAAATTAGTAAGGAGTCACTGCAGTTATTGATAGACAAACTGCATAGAGACTACGAGGAGGCCAGCAAAATTAATAAAGCGGATGTCGATAAAGACCTAGAAGAGGGCTGGCAGTAGAGGCGGAGCCTGAAAAACCGTATACAAAGACCGCATTTACAACAGGGCTATATCACCATGCTCGAATTCAACTATCTGCTTGACGGTGATTCCACCCAAGATAGCTTCTCTATCGTGCTCAAAACCATCGTGCAACGAAGAGAAGACCGCCAATCTGCTACACTCCATCCTCCAGGCAATCCCCATCCAGCTGGAGGCTAGATTGGCGGTAATGGAGCAGACCCTCAACTCCATTTCAGAGCGGAATGCCCCTAAGAAGCAATGCGTCTCCTGCATTCCGCAGGAAAATACGAATGGGCATGTTTCCGCTAGACAGCTACCCCGACCCTTTGTCTCGGGCGATCCAAGTAACGAAACTGGGGCTGTGCGAGCGATGTCTAAAGGGATCACATCCCGAAGACTGTGGGGCAGCATGCAGTTTCTGCCGGCATCCCCACAATGCGCTTATGTGTCCGTCAAAGGCACATGCACCCAAGCAGCCCCACTACAGAGGAGGAAGTTTCACCGCTCTCCGTACTGAATTCTTGCGGCATTATTGTTCCTGCCTACTGCTCCTCCATATTTTCTGGCACCACCGGAACAACTGATATTACCTACTGTTCCTACCGTATTCCTGCCCCTACTCCACCACAACTACACCTGCCTACTGCTCCTGCCTATTGCTCCAGCCACTGACGCACTCGGACGCACATCGCACCAACTCCAGCCACCGACGCACTCGAACGCAACTCGCACCAACCTCAGCCGACGCTCCAAGACGACGCTTGAGGACGCACTCTATGATAGTATTTTATTTATGTCGAATTTTTTGTCATTGTTGTACTGTTGCCCCACCCCCCGGGCCGGAGTGTTTGGCCATCTGTCCGAACCCTATTGTAAATCACCCGCCATAAAGGCGGGCGGATTCGGGGGTCGGGGATTAGCGGGGCGACAGCCTCCTCAGTTCGCAATAAACGTTGAACGGAACGTGTTGTGTGCTCGCATTCCAGCTGCCACATATACTGGCACAGAGTAGGTCATTATTGAGCTCCATTTGAGTCATTTTCCTTGAAAAGACTATAATAGAATAAGTTGAATTAACTCAAAATTCATTCGCAATTACTTCGAGAGTGTGGAACGCCTCTGCGTGCGATGAGCGCAAAAAACTGCTTCTGTGGACAAATTTTTATTGACTTCAAGATGAATACCTCTCGTGGTTAGACAGGTATACAAAGAATTGTACATTTTTGCGTTTAAATTTGAGCAAATGGACCCGTAAAGTCAACTCCAACATTTGAAATGCTCTCGTTGTCACCACACGATCTTCAGGGAGGGATGGCATTAGAGAGCAAACCTTGGAATCTTTTACAATAGTGCATTTTCCAACCTTCTCCATAACCTTTCTTTACAGAGGTTATGGAAAAGGTTCTAAGATCCAGTAATTTTGTGATATAAGCGACAAAGTATGATCTTTTCCTGCATGACATTATCAACATGAGATTGATGTATCAATAACCGGGCAAAATCGAATCTCTTGAAATGTCAGTGGGATTTTTGGTATCGTACTTCAAATTTGCGTTTTAAATCCTCAATTCGAAACGAATAATTCCATCACTAGTTTTGATGAAGTTTTCAACGCACCTATTAGGCGTTGTCGCGAAGATAATCCATGCACACCGTGAATAGTTGTAAATAATGTAGGAATATTTTACGATTTAAAAATCCCTTTTGCCGCCTCAAAAATAAAGGGGGCAAAACAGCAGCAGCTGTTAGCTACATCTAGCAGTAAAGGCGGGTCCTAAAAATAACCGTATAAAAAGGCTACAACGTGGCTACACCACCATGTCTGAAATCAACTAACTCCTCGACAGCGAGTCTATCCAGATAGCGCATTCTCGATTTTGCTCAGAAATCGAGAGTAATGAAGAAAGAATCGCGAGTTTACTCCACTTTGGGAGCTCGCCTTACAGCAATGGAGAACGTTCTTAGCTCCGTCTAAGAACGATCTGTTCCTAAGAAGGTGTGCGTCTTCTTATTCCATAGGAGAATACGAATGGCCATTTATCCGGTCGCTGTAGTCGCTGTCTTGACCCCGAATCCCGAGCGATTCAGGCCACAAAGTTGGGCCTTTGCGAAAGATGTCTGAAGGCGTCGCACCCTGAAGATATGGAGCAAAATGCACCTTCTGCGAACTGTCCCATAATTCGCTGATGCGCCCTTCAAAAGCAAAACAACCCCAAACCTCATTTCAAGAAGAGGAAGGCTCTACTACTCTACTACCTACTATACTAAATATTCAACGCCCGATCGCCAACCTACTACCGCCAACCGCCTCATTTCGCCCACCAGCCGCTGCCAACCACCGGAAATCTACAACCACCTCTTCAAGTTACCAATCAACTCAACCACCACAACATCAACGCCAATCCGCAGTTTACTACGCTCAAGGAGACGCGACGCCCTTCGATAGCATTTCATTATCATTCATTTATTTGTTGTTGTTATTATTGTCGTTATTGTTATTTTTCTGCGCAAGAAGAGTGCAGCTGGATTTAGTCGGCAATCTCCTTACCCATTCTACACTTATTTGCATGCTTATTTTGTTCATTCCAAAAAGCAATTGAAAGAGCGACCGAGGTTGAGTCTTTTCGTGGTGATACTTTCTTTCATCGTGCAAAACAAGTGTGCTTTCAAGAGAAAATGATGTCATTGAAAGTTAGGTACTCCTCAGCACAGCTCTGCAAGAAATTTCCTTTTGAGCCAAAGTGCCGACAAGCTGTGGAGGGGGGGGGGGGTTGTGGTTGGGATTTTGCAGCTTTGCAGTAACAAGTTGGCTCGCATACTGCACTTTATGAACATAGGGTCCGATACGATTTTGCGTCTTCAACTTGGGAGAAGAAAGGGGGGGGGGGATTTGCTGCAAGTGTCCGAATTCAAAATCAAGAACTTCAAAAAGCACATTCACGTTCTCGCGCTCTCCAATCTACATTCTAAGAATCTGATCGACAAATGAGTATAGGGAAATGTTCAGTTTGGGTTCCGCCGAGATGCTATCTTTAGTAGCCTCAGCGAGTGTCTTTGGTAGTCCCATCGAGTGTATAGTGAAAAACAAGCCACACAAATGATTTTTCCGAGATTGTCTAGGACAGCTTAGTACCGGTTTTTCGGCGCCTCAATAAGTATTCCAAGCGCTTTGTTTCTTATACGAATAAGCTCAAATGTCCCACCTGTCAGCCAAGAACAGTATCGCTTCTGCTATATCCTCAGGCTGTCCGATACGTTGACAAGGAACGAGCCTGAATTCGGCTACCATGGCGTCTTCACACTAAGAAACAAGAACAGATAATTTCCAGATATATTTATTTAGTTGTTGCATACCTTCTTGACCATTTCATCTGTGAACCCTTGCTTTTGTAGGATGCTGGTGGCAACGGCTCCTGGACTAAAGAATAAAATTGAGATTTATTAAGTTTGCTTAAGCTTCAACGTGGATCATACTTCACAGAGTTTACACGAACTCCTTTGGTAATGTAATGAAGCGCGAGGTTCCTTGTAAGCTGGTCCTGAGCAGCTTTCGCAATGCTATAGAACGGGCTAAGTGAACCCTGAAGCGTCTCCTCGATCAAAGTCAACATACGCAAACTACCGACCAACCCACCGATCCATTATTGAGTCCAGCAATGCTGCTCACATTCACAATCTCTCCTTTTGCCTTTTCGAGATGCGGAAGGGCGAGTTGGCAAAGACGCAGAATGCTGAATTCACACATCTAATCACTGTTTTGCGTTATCTACACAGCGGTGGCGTACCGCGGGGAGGTGGCGCGGGGGGGGGGGGGAATTCCGAGATGGTCGCGAAAATTTTGGGGAATGTTTACATGAGATATGAAAATGAAAGCAACTTCTTTGAACTTGTAAATAATTTGGATTTTCCAAAGACTAGTTCAAAAATTCAAACTAGCCTTGTGAAGAAAATTTGCGACCTCCGCGCCGCCTTTCTGATATTTTGGGCTATGGAATTGAAAACTTATTGAGAAATATACCAAAAAAATTTTTGAGTGCGTGGCTAACGACACTACCTTTGTTCAAGAAAAAATTCCTTGTGCCCCCTTCTTCCCAACGGAAATCCCGGGACCACCACCGTTGAGCAGATCCCACACCAAACCTTTTTGTGTTTATTTCCCATGCGTAATCGAACCTGCCCAAATCACCGTCAATCTCGCTGCCCACCAAAGGGCTACCAGTCGCCACGCCACCGGCATTGTTAATCTTCAAAATTCAAGTTCCAGTTCGGCAAGATCAAAGCGTAAAGATATCTAGGAGTTCGAATTGATTAGAATGTTACCAGTACATCCAAGCGTCCGAACTTTTCCACAGTCTCATCAATAGTTTTCTTCATTACATCTTCTTCGCGTAGATCTCCTTTCACAAGAACAACTTTTGCTTCATTATTACCATTTTCAGCCAATACTAGACGCTTGGATTCCTAAATAGGATTGTACAATGATGATAGATTTTTTGTCGCTTGTGTGATGTGGTCTGAAGAAAATTCTTGTGCATATGGCTTGAAGGGAGTGCTTTCTGACCGTCACTTTTTGCAATGAGATGTATACGAGTAGATGCGCCTTAAAACGTGTTCATTATTTGCTGTGCGACTCTGAACAAAACTATGGACTTTTTCCATGTTACTGTCACGAGATACAGGCAGTCAGAATCCTCAATATCCAGGTTTTTTAGACTCGGAGACAGTTTTTCTGAGCTTAACGTAAAGTTTTATTTTATTTGGACGCTCTTTTATAGTGCGTAAGTGATTAAACCAACGATGTCGGTGAATCCTCTTATCAAGACAGTGCATATTTTGGTGGCGAGAAATGCTCATAACGTCTTTCGCAAGGCGCAAAGCAGATACCAAAGGCAGATTCGCAATCTGCGCTTCAAGATGCATTCAATGGTGTACGTTGCATTTCAAAAGCCCACGTCACTAGTCCCTTTCAAACTCAACTTTGCGAAACTTTTGTGGTTTCACTTAGATTTGTTTTAAAAGACAGCGAGAAAGCATTTGAATTTAGTAAACGAATTCCTTGTGAAGCTAATGAATCTGCACCTGGGAATGTTGAACAGCAGTAGGAACTTGCTTTACAGCTCGAACTCATGTTTGTAAGCCGTTGATGGAAACTTTCAGATTTCAAAAAAGTGATTTCACTTTTTCAAATAAGATTTTTTATTACTTTATAAGTAATAACAACTCTATCTTGGATTCAATATTGTTTTGAATATATAGTGACCGCCAAAAAGTTGCGGACAAAATGCCCCCCTTTTTTCAGCCTTCATTTTCGGATGCAAATCCAGGATGAAAAAAGGATTGGATTGCATGAGGTGAGAGCTCTTCAAGAGCTACAACCCACACAATGCGATTTCTAGAAAACATGTATTCTAAAAATTTCAAAAATCTTTTTCTAGAAAAAGTCCGAAAATAGCAGCGTCACAATATCGCGGACAAATAAATCTTCGAACACAAAAATTTTCTTTTGGGCCTTTTTTCGAAGCAAAACAGTTTTCCGAACAGTAAGCAAACTATATCATAGAGCTCATCGATGGCAATAATCAGGTTGTGGTTACTTCCAAAAAACGCAAGTTTGAATTTTGTTTTGCTTAAAAAAATAACTTCTATTTTTCTCTTTCAAAGCAAATTTCTTCACATAGAAACGTATTCAAGGCATCCCAACAAAGCTGTTCGAATAAAATAGATGCTCTTTACCATTCTCCATGCATCGTACGTGTGCTGGTAAGTTTCTTGGTTGAAAATGACTCCCGAAAATGCGTGCACATGACCCTACCTGCGCCTCACCACTGACTTGTACCGATTTGCATTCTTGTAGCTCAGCCGTCAAGCAATTTACGAGACTGTACTTAGGCTAATTCGAAAGGGCGTGACTTCCTAGACACGATAGTATGCAAATAAGTTCATTTTGAGCAATCAAGATTTAACGGATGGGGTGAAATATGCAGCCTTAAAGCTCATTGGAGTGAAGGTTCTCATCAACACTAGAACAAACTTAGAGCTCCGAAATGGAACTAGTACAAGAAATTTAACACTTTTGAACTTCCAGGATGGAACTAGTAGCGAAAAGAGCTCTGTTAAACTTTAGCAAAAAAATCCTCCTACAACTGAAGCTACTCTCTTCCAACCCATCCGTCAAATCTCTGGGATTGCTCAAACTGAACTTATTCGCATACTATCGTGCTGAGAAAGTCACGCCCTTTCGGATGCGCCTAAGTACACTCCTAAATTGCCTCTGAGCTACAAGCCTACAAAGAATTACAAGTCAGTGGTGATGCGCAGGTAGGGTGATGTGCACGCATTGTCAGGAGCCATTTCCAGCAAAGAAACTCATCAGCACACGATTTATAATTTGGGCGGTAAATGAAAAATTGGGTGAAAATGACAAGCTATGCTGGATTACGAGCTGTGGCAATTATTTGTACGCCGTTGCAAGAGGGTAAGGATGTAAGCTCTAAATGAGACTCGAATTCCTTTAAAACTTGTTTTTGGACTTGGTGAACTAAAAAAAAATCAAAAACAACTGAAGACATTTAATCAGAGCCACAGTTATCATGACAGATCATGAATGATGATCATAACAACAATAACATCCGCCAGAATGAAGAGCTTTTACGACGTGTTTCGATACTTGAGAAGACAAAAAGTTTTTTCTTTCTTTTTTGCTTACAATCGAGAAGTTCAGGGTATAAAATCTATATGACCTCTCCATTAGATGTGATTTCAGAGATTGAAAAAATAATATTTTATACTCACTTGCAAGGATGTCTCATTACGGCCACACAAGGTGACCGAGGCTCCTTCCCGCGCAAACAACTGTGCGGTAGCCCGCCCGATGCCACTGGATGAGCCTGGAGTAACTCGTTGTTTTTTCATCCTTTTTTAGAGACAAAAAAGTTCTTTGAAAATATATACATCGTTGGCGCTTCAAAATAATAACAAACAGCTGTTACAAAAGTCTAGAAGACTGTCATTGTTTACGAGCATGCGAGTGGAAAAATATAAAGCCTAAGGCAATTTGCGCGTAAGACATAGCTGTTGCTAATCCCGGAGTCACCTGGTGCAACTGCACACCTTTTTGAGTAAGCGCATATTACGTTTCGGTGAAAGGGTTTGACATCTTTCTTCCATCGAAAGCATTTTTTGTCGGAAATCTCGTTTTTATTAGAGCGCAAGGTAAGCTGTTCGTTGCAAATTGTGATTGTACTCGCACAAGTCTATGACGCGAAAAAATCGTTACTATGTGCGACTTACACTATTTTTCAGGGATGAAAGTCAAGTACATATAAGCAGCTCCACACGACGACGACAATATGTTAGGTCAGTTCAAATGTTCTTTCCGTTTTTTTCAACCTGGCATAAAATCAGGTGGAATAACGGTAGGCAAGTGCTCTAATGCAGATTTTCTTCCTCTTTCCATCAATCATGTTTTGGGACCATTTGCTTTGGTGGTTTCTGAGATAATTGCCGAAATTCCAAACCCATGGTTTTTAAAATATCTAACTTTGGCAATTTTTCAAAATCTTCATTTTGAACTTTTGAAAAAGGTTTGATAGCAGTTAGATAGCGTAAACAAAGTGCAATACAATTTTCTCGCATCTCCATTTAGCTTCTTAGCATTTTTGAGGATAAGTTTTCCAAAAGTCTTTATTTTTGCGAAGTGGCAATACACAGAGGCTTCTAACACCAATAAATCGTCGGAATTTGAAGTTTGCAAAGATCGATTTTAATAACACACTAATTTTACAAAGCATCAGAGTGTTTGCCGCTTTAAAATATCAAATCTCGCATTCCACGGGTACAGCATGAGGCGGCCTCAATCAGGAATTATGATAATTATCGCCAAATATTCCATAAATTGGGAAGAAAAAAAGGCCTATTAGAAATGGGAGGAAAAACTGCATCGAATGACACCTTAGTTGTGCTCCGTTTGACGTTTTGCGAGTTTTGGGATGACCAAAAGTAAAGTTTGGTAGCATCAGAAAAATGATTTCAAAAATTTTGGAAAGCCAGCTATAGCTGCTAAAAAATCTCACTGCATTGCACTTTGTTTACGCTATCTAATGAATATCAAAGCTTTTTCAAAAGTTCAAAATGAATATTTTGAAAATTTTGGGTATGATAAAAACCATAGGGGATTGAAATTTCGGCAGTTATCTCAGAAACCACCAAAGCATTCGTCTTAAAACATGACTGGTGGAAAGAGGAAGAAAAGCTACGTGTGGTAGTTCTTAGAGCATTTGCGTGCCTTTATTCCACCTGATTTTATGCCAGGTTAAAAACGGAAAGAACTTTTGAACCGACCTAATATATCAGCATGGGATGATAATTTTCGAGGAAAAAAGAAAAACGAAAAATTTCCGTACAAAAAACACCAATGATACTATTACGCACAAGCGACAAGCAAATTTCGGAAGTTGTGCAAACGCACTGCGCAACTCTTAATGGCCGCTGTAGAAGTATCTCTCAATCTGTGCTTTACCTGTAATTATCACTGCTCGCTCATCAAACTGCCCCATTGAGTGAGTAACAGAAGTGACCTAAAAATGCTTCCGCTTAGTTCAAGCAGCTAAAACAGTTGAATGTGAATAGAAATTGGAAATGTGCACATCCTGCACCAAAATTTCATACATGCCCTAAACGATGGGACTATCTTAATAAATGTGTAATGAATGGCATGTGACGATAACATAAACAAAGCGAAACAACCGGTTCTCATTCAAGATAAAAGAGATCGATGACAATAGATGAGGCGCACTTTTTTTTGACAGCGCATAGAATGGTACATTGTTCATTTAGAAGTGTTCAAGACTAATCCTGTATGAGGGCGGATGATTCATCGTGACAAAGCGGTAGCGAACGCGGCAACGCTCATCTGTGCAAACCTCGCAACGGCATCGCTTACATCTTGAAGGTTTTGGTAACTTCAATACCTCTGAATCTGAAGGATGGGATACCAGTCACGCTCTTTGAGAAAAATAAATAAAGAAAAACCACAAATGTTCATTGTTGCATTGAGTTATTGATGGTGAAGGTAAAGACAATTCAGTTACATTTGACAATATAATATCATGAAAACAAAGATAACTTCCAGATTTTGATCATGGCTGCAAGTATGCGTATATACTTACCTTAAAAACAGAAGAATTTGATATTTGGCGAGTGAGCCGTACTTGCGCTGCCGTTCTCAGCAATGACATAGGTATCCGCATCTGAAATCAACAACTGAATATTGCAAAATCGCATGTAAATTTTTGTTGCTAAGTACACAGTGGTTAACACATTCACGACAGGCCCGATTTTTCGATTACTGCCATTTCGGACCAGAGCATGTTTCGCAAAACTGAGTTTGCGTACTGAAGTGTTAATCTTCTAAGTAAGAAGTACTCCAAGAGGTGTATACAGAAGTTTACTCGGTTTGCCTTAAAAGTCTCACAGTGAACTAGCAGAATCAAAAACTTCAGGAAGCATACGACCCACCGGTGGGTCGTATTGTCCGAAATGGCACGACACGTAAGACCCACCAGTGGGTCGTATTGTCGTGAATGTGTTGAAAAATTTGCAATCAGAATTCAACCACACTAACGTACGCTAAGCACCAGAATCTTCTAACTTACCACGTGTCAGAGGTGCAAAACGTAATTCCTCAAATTTTTGTGAAAAAGATGTTTCCTCGATTTAGAAAATTTGTGATACGAGATAGTTTAACAACAACTAAGCCATAAGTATAATAATGTAAGCAGTTTAGACGCTGAATAATCAACATTGGAATCGAATTTATACACTCCTCTTGTTAAGGTAATATGGTACACAAGAGCGATTTTTTCTAACAAGCCATCCAAAGGTTTTCCTTTTTTTGGACACTCAGTTTCATCCATTTGCAAAGCTAGTGAGGCAAAATTCTCCCTTGTAATATTCTCTCATTCTGACAATCCTCAAAAGTTGACTATGGGCAACAGGTTGCTAAAGTGCTGCATGTATGGAAGAGCCTCAGGCGCCGAGTTTTCGCATTTAGTCAGGAAAGTGTAAAGTTTATGAGCTGCTGTGTTTGTTGAACTCTAAGATCTTGTTAATTGAGTGGGAACACTATCCGATGTATCGTCTTTGGTAAATTTTGGAACGAAGAAGTTGAAAAATTCAACCGAAAATATCATGTTTTCTCCCATTAGTTCAAATCTGATGTGACTTTCGAAAAAATTTACGCATTTCACATACTTTCGACGTTATTCAGTACACAGACCATTTCAAAGACGTGGATTTCAAGTGATTTATAATACGATGTTGTGATCAGCATGACGAAAACCCTCAAAGATCGACTTTGAGCAAGATTCGCGAGGGATTCGCGAGTTCGAAATTCTGGTTCAGATACTGAAATAGCGCCGGTTTCCCATTGAACTCCAGATTTTTTTTCTTATTCCGCACTGCGTGTACCTACCAGATCTGAAGATAATTTCATTTGTGCGTTGCATTGAAGTCACTTTTTCTCTTCTCACACTTAATTCTGGAATTTCCAGAAAAAAGCTTATCAGACAAATTTTTCTGAATTTTTCTGTAGTGTGCTCTTAGCTCTTGTTCGTTTCTATACTGAACAACTTTATAGAAATGAAGTTTATTCTGACCCAAGTGAGTTTTTGCACTACTTACAAGCCATTCAACCCACAGTAGCCTTTTATAACAAAATGTATCATAAATCCTGATGCCGCCTCGAAATGCTCTATTTCTGTTTCCTATTGAAGCTAAGCGGTCAATTAGACATTGTTACAAACAATTGCTTGGGCCTAAATGCACTGCATTAGCTGCTTGCTGTAGGACCAACATAGCTGGCTAAAACTTTATCGCTAAAAACAAACTTCAAGATCTCAGACTTTCCGAATATGAACCTCTCAAATGATTTACCCTATTTTCCGGTTTATAAGCCGCACCTTATATAAGCCGCACCCACCGCAGCGAACAATGGCGCGAAAGAGCCTCCTAAAAGAAAGTTTTGATCTAACAACTGAAAACTCGCTGCATTTTGTGACTGCTTTTCATTGCGCATGTTCACGTTTTCAGATATTTCTTTATTCTTTCCAGAGATTCGGACGATTTTGGGGTGTTTGGGTTGTGTTTCCTCAAGGATACAATGGAGTTGACCGTGCTTTCTTTTGTTCTCAAAGATGTTAGTGAGGTTCGATTTAATGATTGTTGATGATGATGTTGATGTTTCAATGGTGCTTTCAATGCTTCCACAAGAAAGAGTGAAAGCAGAAAGTTACAATCAGGCTGGTGAAATAGGTGGTAGTTGGCTGCTTGCGCGGCTTCGCACATCGCGACCATCATCTCGCATCAGCCCGCGCGCGACGAAAATAACTGCGGCTTATACGCCGGAAAATAGGGTACAACTTTTGAGGAAAGGCCATGAGTCAAATGGTATGAGGGAACTCAGCCAAAAGTCTTACCGCAGAGGTCATGAGTGTTATCAAAGCTAGCTAGCACCTAATCAGCACCGTAGCGCAACTGATCTGTGACATAGTAGCCCCACACTCATCCAGGAACACATGAAACTGAATTTTACTGTAATTTCAGGCCCAAAGTTCAGCAACGAACTTCCAAAATTGCTTTGTTGGTGGTTTCAATCTTGCTACCTCCGAATGTGGTAGTTTTGCCGTTCCTTAGAGAATTCACTGCAAGTTCAAAACTGATTTTAGGGGTTTTCCATTAGGGTCATCGAAAATAATGAAACACATTGCCTTTTTCACAATTTCGTAGGTTTTTCCTCTTATCTTATATATATAGCTGAATGCCTATTTGTATGTCTGTCTATATGTATGTATGTCTGTACGTATGTTCCGAATAGAAAATTCCATTTCTGGACCGATCCGGACCAAACTTGGCCCACATACACTTCGGCCCTCGGCGGGTGTCATAGGCTACTTTTTGTCATCGATCGATATCGATTTTTTGCAAAATTTGAGCTACGGGGCTGGGAGTTGGCACAGGGGGTAATCGAGCATGCTGATTACGAGTATAATAATGACAGGGCCGGGCGGAGCCGGGTAAGTCAACTAGTCAATTATAAACAACCAATGGTGTCAAACGTTTTTGTATTAGAGTGACCTTCGCATGTTAATCTGACGTCACCTTGTCGATCCTCTGCTACAATTCTTTGAGCTGCGCTTCGGAGAGGTCTTAGAGACTTTTTCGAACACAATTAGAATTTGTGCTGTTGTACCCAAAGCTCCTGGATAAGCGTCATATTCTTCTAAAGGACCCTTCAAGCTCTTTCTAATAATTACTCGTTTTTGTAAAAATTCGTCATTATGTAAAAGAGGCAGATCATTCGAAAAAGTGCGGTATTTGACCAGATTTTCTGGCTAAATAACATGTTTTGGCCCACAATTCTTTGAAAATAGGAGAAGTCGAGGTAATTTGCATGTGCATGGAAAGAGCTTAAAAAGCTCTATCAGACTCACCGTCGAAGGCGATGTCATTCGATTTCATTGATGAAAGAATAAATAATGTGTCTCCCAATACTTAGTGTTTCATCTCCTGTTGCAAGGTGTTGGGACCAGCAGGCGTACATTCGATAATGGTTCGATACCCACAAGCCCCTGGATAAGCGACATATATATTTTTCTACAGGAGTAGTAGCCTCATTTGTTTTCACTGTGGCGGTGCAGCTCAAAGTTCGAGATTACTTGAAGTGACAAGCTTTGATTTTAGGCATTTATAGAAAAAACGCCATGCGACAGTGTCCATCTCGATCAAAAGGTTTTGATATGCACTATCACTGGGAAAAAACTGAGCATCCAACTTTCCTGTTTGGAAAACTGCATTTATCCAAGTGTCCCACTGTTTTCCGAGCATCCTAATATCATCGTTATTTCCGGATATGTTTGCGTTCTGCATTTTCTAGATAATTTTTTTGCCATATTTCATAAGGAAAATCATATTTAGTCTTGGAGTCTGATATGTATAGCATACAATGTAATTAAAGTCGGATTCGAATTTTAGATTTTCCTGAAGAGGGTCGATTTTCTCCATTTCTTTTCCAGTTTTTCAAAGCAGTGAAGTCTAAAAAAAATTGTTTTCGAAAAGAAAACAAATTTGGTGTTACATCAGAACTACTGGCACATCAAAACTCATGTGGTTGAAAACCCCTAGAAATCAGTTTTCACTCTAATCGCACGAGTATCGTTACTGAGCTTCAAACTCGAAATTACAATGAGGAAAGTGTTCATGGATAAGATGAGAATTGTGCCACAGATTAGTTCTGCTACGGTGCTGACTGACAACTCTCTATAAGTAAGTTGGGCAATTTGGCTGGATAAGTCCGTTTTCTGATTAAACGGGTCGGTTGAGGGCTCGGATGTGGAGGTCTATATGTCGCCGGAAAGGAGTGGTCTCAAGCGGACATCTGCGACAAAGCGCGCATTTATACACCCGCAGGCATAAGATTTGTACCAGCTGACCGCGCGGAGTGGAGCCCATCGGCGGCATATAGTACTACCCAGGGCTCGGTTAGTCTAGGGCTTCAAGAACAAAATCAGAGCAAAGAACAAGTCGCCTTCGATTTCGCCAAATTTCTACGAAGTTTTTTAAACTTATTCCAGGCTCTTGAAATTTCTGCGTGTTGTATAAAGATAGAACAGAAAAAACCAGTAGATACTATTGCTTTGACAACAACATCATCGTAAGACGGACGATAGATATCACGACGATTAAGGAAAATGGGAGCTGGGTCAAAAGTGAAAATCAAAAGAAAGCGAGTGCTCAAGACGCGTAAGTCGTTGGAATTGAGGGCGATATCTAACAAAGCGATTTCCCGTACAGTCTGGGCAGAAAAATAGGGGAACAGCAGGAGAGAGGTGCATCAGCTGGCCACTTTCCTCCCAAGCCCTCGGGCAGAATTTACGCGATTTCATCATCGCGATTCATCGCGACAAGGCAACTGTAACAATATCATTGCCGATCTCCTTGCATTCCGGTTGTGATAGTTTTCCAACACGACTAAACGTGACTGACTATGACAACCAAATACAAGAAGATCGGCATGCAATGAACTCGTAACAATTGTCTTGTCGCGATGAATCGCGCGACGAAATCGCGTGAAATCTGCCCGAGAGCTAAGCCGTACAGATTGTCTCGTATTAGACAAGAAGAATATTCCTTTTCCTAATGGGGAACTAGAACTACATATATTTCTGTGAGCAAACATGTCTACTCAGCAATAAAAGAACCGCTATCTACACACAAAAACTGATTTCTGACATGAGGGAGTTCATCTCGCGAAAGTGGTGCAAACTGCTTTAAATTTGTCTTCCCACTGAAGATAGATCGTCGAACGAGGAAATAGTCTACGCTAAGGAATCCAAAAATTATGCAACTTTCCAATGTAGCAGAGGAACGTTGCAATCGAGTGAGGCTTGAGCGGTGATTACTTTGCATATGTTTTCGGCATCATATTTTATTTGTTCATGGAATATTGCCATGTGCTTCAAATCTGGGTAATTTTACTGCTCATGGAATATCGCCACGTATTTCAAACCTGGTAATTGAAATGCGCTGTAAATCAACCACTTTTTATTTTGATGAAGTTTGACTTTACTTTTAAATTTGGCGCGCTTGTGAAAAACAAGTTTTGACAAGTCACCGTATTACGTCCGTATATATATTTTCATATGCCGCAATCAACGAAGTATAATTGTTTGGTCAGCATATCGAAAAAACCATTCGACCTAGGCCATACCAAATTTTTCGTAGACTTCTTACAGCGTACCAACCGCTCAACGACGAGCTACAGTAACACCGTAAAATAGAAAATTGATGTAATGAAAATTATAAAATGCGTCTCACATGGAAACAGCGGTTACATCGAAAGAGGTAATGGCGATGGCAAGGCAAAGTTTAGCAAAAACTTTTCGCCAAAGGAGGATGCTTTGTTGGTTTTTTCCTACATGCTGTGCGGACATTTGTATTTTTCCCAAGAAAAAAGACCTATAAGAAATTTACAAGCGATTTTAGATTAGACGGGAGCTTGAGAAAGAACAACGATTCGAGGCAAAATAGCTAGTCTCTAAAAAGATAAATGATCGATTTGTTGAGTTTGATGTATCTTGCGATACAGCATTCTCAACCTCTGCATGTTTCCACATTTCTTGACAGAGAAGATAAGTGGCTTTTTTGAAATTATTTCTCTCTTGTGAGGTGAGCTAAAAGTGCAACAGTGCTCATTTTCGCAAATTTTATGTGCGATTTTTCTCGCAATAAAAGTGCTCATACAGTCTGCCCCAATCCTAACCAGGCCAAAATTGGCATGGCGGGAGTCCGCGTCGTTAGGGTTTCGCGGTCACGCCCACGGTCTGCTTCTCTGCCCTCTCTTCAGTCCTTTGGCTCTCTCCAACAGCGCGCATATGCAGCCCAGACCGCTAGCGCTGCGAGCGCGCAAATTTACGCCGACGCTTCGGCCTGATCCCGATTGGGGTAGACTGTAACTTCGTCCACAAAGGCGCTAAGCAAATAAGGAATACAGATTCGACATCAGTGTTAAATGCTGCATCGAATGGGAGGCAGCTTGCTCGGACTGGCCACTTCGACTTCTGACTATTCCCTTGTAAGCATTTTTTATGAAGGTTGCATTGACGATTAATTCTTTAGAAAAAGAAATTCATCATATCTGTGGTTTGCTTTTTCAGAACCAGTATTAGAGATTATTGGGATGCCACTACGTGGTCGGCAGTTGATGGAATCGGGTGGGCAAGGCAAAAAAGCTTATTAGGAAATGCGAGAAATTCATCCATGACCCTGTGCTTTTCCTTATTTCTTTTTGAAAGAACCTGCTGTACAGCTCCAAGCGTCGCGCAAAAGCGTTTGACATCATTTGTCTCCAGAAAAACACCGATAAGGGAGAACTAACTGAAAGAAAACAACATTCAGAAACGAGAAGAGAGTGAAGAAAAACGTGAGAAGGGAAAAAACGCGCCTTGTAGAAAAAGTGTGGACGAAGCCTCACGATGAGATCTATATGACTCAAAAGGATGACGTAAGTTGTCTAAAATGGGCAGATCAGTGACGTTTCCTTTTCTAGTTTTTGAGAGGCAGACTACCCAGACGAATGAAACGAGGAGGAATCGCGACGTCTATCAGTGATGTCAACAAACATTTCAACAAATGGGCGAATCACAATTAGATGGTCACTCATGAGTAACTTGGGACGAGCTTCCTATTGAATCCATGTCAAAATGTGGCCGCAAGGTGGCACTGCTAGTCTACGATCAGAGAAGTCGAGCCTAGCTTTTCAGCTGGTGGCTCCGGTCTCCCCTTCCTGTCCTTTATTGCGCCTCTTTTCAATCAATGTACTAGCATACACGGCTCCCCCCTCTCCCTAGGCCCTTTCAATACACTACGACAGATAGATATTACTATGCTCTGATTCTTATGACATTCCCTGTCCCTGTCAAACTGATTCTCCCTCCCCCCCCCCCTCCCATTGTGCGATCAGCATGCTCACTTACCATTTCTTGCCAACTCCAGTCCGTAGCTCTTGCGAAAAAATCGGTAAGAGTAATGAGCAATTTTAAAAACTATTAGGTCGCTTTATAAGTCATCATCGAACATCATCATCGAACACATCCAGTCCGAAATCACATTTTCAACAACGTTGGCCTTTATCGGCAGCCCATGAGCTTTGCCATTTTCCCGAAATCATGTAAGAACTCTACTAGATTTGTCAGTTGGATACGACTCGAAAGCTCGAAAGTGAGAGCAAATTTGAGGTTATTCTTGCCTTTTTCTCCCACCCGTTCCATATTTAATCGTCTGTTTGTATTTCAATTTTGAGGTGGTGCATCGCTTACGATGTATTTGATAAATAAATAAATAAATAAGTCCGTAGAATTTATAAGTCAACAAAATGACGACAAATTAACAAAATTTAATCAATCTTATATATAAAGCTGAATGTGTGTGTGTGTGTGTGTGTGTGTGTGTGTGTGTGTGTGTGTGTGTGTGTGTGTGTGTGTGTGTGTGTGTGTGTGTGTGTGTGTGTGTGTGTGTGTGTGTGTGTGTGTGTGTGTGTGTGTGTGTGTGTGTATTCATGTCAGAAAGTGCAGAATTCACGTGAATCTTCTATCAATTATGCTCAGAGTTGAGCAGGAGGTATGGCACACAACCGCCGTAGGCGACTCTCGCCTCTCCCCCGCATTATCTTTCCTACCGTAAACATGACATAAAGACTCAACCATAATTAATAGCATATTCGTAATTATCATGTCGAATAATCCTTGTGTGCCAAATTTTTAGCGAATAGTTTCCGATAATGGGCCAAGTGAAGTGGTCATTTTCAAACATGGTCGGCTGTATCCCAGAAGTGAATTACTAACCACTTTTTATACTCAGTACAAAGTACTACTTGAATCCTGCTTCAAATAACCATCGAAGTATGGAAGTAGAAGCCAGCCAACATCTCATTTGTATCATTTTCAGAGTGGTTGTGCTTCCAGCAACTATTGCGCAAACGAATAAAGACGAAATTAGCTTCAATGATTCCTACAAATTCTAGATTTTAACTGTCAAATGTGTGCAATCTGCTCCAATCCCAAGCAG